TAAAAGCTTGTCAAGGCAAGGGTTGGGGCTCCCTTCTCTTGAAAGAGTGGCCAAGGCACTCCCAGATGCTCTCCCCTTGAGAGAGTGGCGGCGCCGTCCCTTTTCCTCCACAGGAATTGGTCGTCCGTATGCATTAGTCTTGTCTCATCCCCAACACCACAGACACTGCAGGCCAGTGTCTGCATCAACATACCTGGTGGAATGTTGAGCCTCCCGTTTCCACTAACTATACTCAGCGGATTGGAGGAGCGTGGATGCCCCTGGTGGCCCACTAGAAGGAAACAAGCACTGGATCCCGGTGCCAAAAAATACTGTTGACGTCGCTGAACATTTACAGGTTTGTTTTTCTGTCCTTTGTGCTTTCCTTGAAGGAACAACTTTACACTGCACACAAAGACCAACACAGTGAATGATTACTATCGGCTTTCCATGGTGGCCACAGTTGACTTCTGCACCCACGAGGGGGATTACCATACTGCAAATCCCCCTCCGGTTCCTCCTTGTACCTCAGACACTAGCTGTAAAGACTCAGTCTTTTCGTCTTTATGCAGAGGACTGAGTGCCACCATCGCTTTTCTCCCCAAAAGTCCTTTTCTAATAGAGAATTGGGGGGCTAACTTAAAAATATTAGCGAAGCCTGACACAACGATAGTTCCGGCTCAGCCTCAACACCTATATACTAATATGTGCTGGGAGGGGCCCAGGCCTGGGGCACCTGTTCTTAGAATTGTTCCTCCCAACCACACTAGCCCATGGCATCATAGCTCTTGGAAAATGGGCTTGCCTTTTGTCACTAGGAAGCATCTGTATATAAATGTTGGTTGTGACCCTGAAGGTGTTCTGGGATGTTGGTACCAGGTGGATCCTCCAGAACGAGACTGGGTCACAGTTTGTATCTGTCACCTCTGCCTGTTTTTAGCAGCCCCAGGGACAGCCCAGGTCTTTTATAACGAGTCAGCAAAAACTTATTCTCTGCATGTCCCTGCAGGCTCCACGTATGCCAGCTGCCTTACCCAACTCAGTGTCACTCGGCTGAATCTCACTAGAGTTTATATAGGTAGAAAACAGACTCCAGTGTGGGTGTCAGTTGATGTAACCAGAGGATGGGAGGATCCCAATGGCATAATAGCGCTTAACAGTGCACTGAACTCCTTACGAGTCCGCTGGTTTGTTGGCGCCCTAATTGCATTCATTGTCTCTGCGATAATTGTCATAGTGACTGCTGCCACAGCAACCGCTGCTCTCGTTGACTCAGTTCAGACTGCTCATACTATCGATGTTCTCCTATGCAACACTACCTTAGAAGTGATCCAACAGGCCCAGACTGGTCAAGAGATCCTGAGTCACCTTTCTGCAGTCGAATCAGCACTTGACTGGATCATCGAGCGCCAGGACCAGCAGCTGACCTGTGACCCTGGATTCTCCAGGCTGTGGGTCACCTCACTCCGGTGGAACTCCAGCCTGTAGTCCTGGAGTAATATTGAACATCACCGAAGAGGGGGTTTCCTACCAACTTAAAGGGACAACTTGATAAATTGCAGCTAGAGCTGCCTCAGCAGTTGCAGGACATTCAATGCTTGACCAAGCAGGAGGTTTTTCAAACCCTCCGTGAAAATCTTGAATGGCTAAACTCAAAAAAGTGGCTCGATGGACTTAAACTGAGAATGTGGGTCTTTGGAGCCACTGGTTGTTTACTGATTCTAATAATGCTTTGTGTACTTCGATGCTTTTGCAAATTATTTTCCCAAACTCGTGTAAAAGATCAGCAAGTAGCAAGCTTTGTGGGATCTATAGCAGTCCTAAGTAAAAACAAGGGGGGAAATATAGGGATCCGATTTCCTTGGCAATGGCAAATGTAGCCCAGCCCTATTGGAAAGCCCATAGGTGCATGGTGGCATACAGGACACCAAACCCACGGATCTGTTCTCCCGTGGGAGACCAGGCCTGCATTACACCTAGGCTGCTTTGAGACTGCTCTTGCTACAACTCCCTCACCCTATGTTGAAGCAGGAAAAGCTTACTACTGCATATCTTTACCTTCCTGAAATCTGGGCTAATTCTCCCAAACCCTGAAGTATAACCAGAACAATTACTCATTCCTCGTTTTGCATTTGCAACATTTTCTCCTTGTTAATCTGTAGAAAGTAATCAGTGACATCCTTTCCTTTGCTATCTGTAAAAACTAATTACCTAAAGCAAACCTAAGGGTAATGAATGAGAACCTTCTTTGATATATGCTATTAGAAAATCAATAAAAGCCTATCAAGGCAAGGGTCGAAGCCCTCTCCCCTTCAGAGAGTGGCCGGGCCGTCCCTTTTTCTGCACAGGATCTCAGTAGTCCATGTGAATTTGTTCACTGCAGCCACAACACACAGTCCCTTGGGGCTGGGGTCCTCATCAAGCACGTCTTCATTTGATAATGTCCAGATGATGACTTGGCATGCTAATGCTTCAGTGTTCTGCTTATAAAAGCTTTGACTACACCAAAGTTAGGAAGGTATGCTCTTCTATGGTTTCCTACAGACGTTGTTTGAGCTTTGACGCTTACCATCCACGATCCCTTCTGCAGTGCTTCTTTGGCATGGTTTGAGGAAGGGCTCAAGCTCCAACACAAAGGGAGCTAGCTTCCCATCTTGCCACCACAGTCACCACCCACAGGCCGTGACTGGGTGGCTTTTCCACTACAAGTTCAGCCTTCAGGCCAAAGCACGTTATTCTCCAGCACTTGCACTCACGTCCTCTCTCCACAAGGCACTGCCTCTTGCTCGCCCCGACACCCTGGGCCCCAGTGGCAGAGAATCAGCACCCAGACCACGTCCCCCAACAAAGTCCAGGTCACTGCCCAAACCAAGAAGCTCTGCCGGGGCTGGGCCCCGACTCCAACCCGCAGGGGAGAGGAAGGGCACGTCCCCGCCAGCGGGCCCAGCCCTGCCTCATTTCCCTGCGGACAGACAAGGCCTCGTGACACAGCCTCAGCCCTCTATGCAGTCGGAGGGCAAGTCCCTTCGAATTCAGGAAACCCAGCAAGACTGGCTCCATGCAGACGCCCCTACCCCAGCGGCTAGGGTGCCTGCACAAGGAGGAGCACGCTGGGTGGGGCAAACCTGAGCCAGGCTCTCTCGGCCCCCTTCCTCGCACCCAAGACCCGAAGCCCCCAGTCGGGGTTCCTGCTTTCAAGGAACCTGGCCTCTGGAGCGGTGAGGGACTCGCATCCTCGACGGGGTGTCCGCCTGCAGACCGAGCCTCCCGTCTAGGCCTCTCCCTACGCCCACAGACGCCGGACACGGAAGGGAGCGCAGTGTGGGACCCCGCCTCGGCACCCGCCATCCATCAGTGCCAACAGGCTGGCAAAAAGTAAACATCAAAAAGACCCGGCCCAGGTTTCTGGAGAGCATCCTTGCACCTGTCCAAAGATAGGCTCTCTGTGAAACAAAAGGGTTCGCTTGCACGGTTGGAAATCTTTTTCCAAAGAAAGTTTATGGAACCGTGGGCTGGCAAGAAAGCAAAGACGGGGGTCGTGGGGGTGTGAACTGTGAATGGCCAGCAAGTGGGGTGGGCAGGAGGGTGGCGGTGGGGGGCTGCGTGTGGGCCTTCCTGGAGTTGAAGGGCTTTTCCTCTTTTTTAAAAATGGAATGTGTTGGGGTTATAAAGCTCATGAAATTACATAGGTTTCAGGTGTCCAACTCTGTCCTACATCACCTGTCTATTGTATTGTGTTTTCGCCACCCGAAAGTCACGTCTCTTCCCATCACCATCTGCGCCCCCCGCTTTCCCTGCTGGGGCCTCCCTCCATCCCGATTTCCCTCTGGTGACGACCGTGCTGTCGTCTGCCGGTGAAGTTTTGTCCCCCCCCACCCACCCCACTAAATCCCTTCTCATGTTCAACCAGCTCGCCTACCCCAGCCCCGGTGACAGCTAGGAGTCTGCTTCTATTTTGTTGGTTAGTTATTTTGTTCAACAGATTCCACATACAACGGGGGATCCCAAACATTCAGAATTCTCTTCTGCAGGCCAGGCCCGTTGTAATACAGCTTTGCCCCAACCCACCCCCCCACCACCCCCAGCTGTTTTAAGAATCCATTTTTATCTGCGTACCAAATGGCGCTGTTGTGAGAGGCTGTGTTCGGCTACAGTAAAATATTTGAAGGGAGGGTGGGGCGCTGTGCTCATACCCATCTCATGATGGGTGATTTACGAGTGAACTGCCCAGAACACACTGAGGCTTCAGCAGTTTTTGATAAAAAATGGCCTGACCCCTGTGCCCCATCCTCCTGATCACCGAATCTCTCCCGGGTGACTGTTGTTGTTGTTGTTGTTGTTTCCCTAGATGAAAAATGTCCTCAAAGGAAAATGTTTTCCCAATGTGGAAAAGGTGAAAGGAAAAACAGCAGGAGCACTAAAGGCATCAAAATCTACAAGTTCAAAAAGTGTTTTGAGCAGTGGAAAAAAGCCTCCATAGGTGTATTGTGTCAAATGGAGAGCATTTTGAAGGTAAGTGAAGTTTAAGCATTTAAGAACAAAAGCACAATTTTTTATAAGTAAATTGTGGGATTTTTTTGGTTCCTCCATTGATATAAGTGACATCTATTGTGCTTGTCTTTCTCCGACTGGCTTATTTGACTTCGCGTAATACTGTCCATGTCCATCCATGCTGTCACAAAAGGTAAGATTTCCTTCATTTTAACAGCTGCGTAGCGTTCCGTCGTGTGAATGTCCCACTGCTGTTTCATCGGCTTTCCTACTGACGGCAGTTGGGCCGCTGCCCAAATTTTCCCTGATGCCAATCACACTGCAATGAACATCCGGGTGAATACATGCTTTGCAATGAGCGTTTCAGGTTCCTTCGGATATATTCCTGTCACGACCAGCGCGGAGTTGGGGTTCCTGAGTGGGGGCGAAGGGGAGACTAAGAAAGACACAACACACTTTGAGGCAAAGCAGTGGCCAAGTGGGACATTGTCCTCTGATGCAGACAATGAACCAGGAACATGGTCTCCGCCTTTATTTTGTAGGGGATGGTTAGACAGACCTCAAGGATATTTGGCAAACTTAGAGAGAGGCTGCAGGCACGGATTGATCGGTTCCCCAGTCATGTAACTGCTACATGTGTTTTCTGCCCAAGTTCCAGCACACGCAGTTGCAGCCTGCGACTATTTATGGGTGGCCTTCGGAGCACCTGGGCGGCGGGAGGACGGCCCGAGGGAGAGACGGGCACAGCCGGGGAGGGACAGCAGCTTGGAGGCAATGCTCAGGCTCGAGGCTCCCGGTCACGGCCTCCTCATGTACGGTGAAAAAGTTGTGAGGTGTTTTTGAAGAACATACATCGGCTGCAGATTAGGGGAAGAGGTGACGCAGGGTTCTCTATGCTAGCACAATCTGGAGGAAGAAATATTCACTGGTTTTGATGGGTTACAGACTAGAGTGACTAAGTTCACACACATGTGGGATGCGGTGGCTGATCCAGTGGCCCGAGCGGCCTTTTGTCAGTGGGCCCACATTTATTGTTACCTGGTCAAGTATCCCTATCTCTTGTCTCACTATCCACATGCTGTAATTTCATTTAGAACATTCCATAACTACAGGAATGCAATGTAATAAACCGCAGGAAAACCTACACGATCCCTGAAAGAAAAACTATAGACATCTATGTAATAGGCTTCCAAATGGTGATGAGCAATATTTAACAGAAACAGGTTAGAGCCTGGCTAGTGGGGCTCAGTGGATTGAGCGCTGGCCTGCAAACCAAAGGGTCCCGGTTTGGATTCCCAGTCAAGGCACATGCCTGGTTTGCGGGCCAGGTCCCCAGTAGAGGGTGCGGGAGAGGCAAACACACTTTGAAGTTTCCCTCTCATTCTCCCTTCCTTCCTCTCTCTCTAAAAATAAATAAAATCTAAAAATGAAAAACCTTGAAAGAAACAGGTTAGAGGTGGAGTTCTATTTCACAAACGACAGCTTTGTCTGCTGGGGTTTATCCAGTCCTCCCGCGTTGCTGACAACCGCTGCAGTGCGGACCACGCAGCATGCCCCGTGCAGACAGAGAGGGCAAAACTGAGAGATCACCTCCGGATCTCTCCGCAGATGATCTCTCCGCAGATCACCTCAGGAACGACAAGCAAGGTTGGAGAAGGACGGACAACTGCCATTTTCTGGTACCTGAAAAGGCAGGTGCAAATGGGAACACTGAATGACAACTAACCGGCTGCTCTAAAAACATCAGAAGTTAAAATCATCAAGGTTTTAATCCGACGTACAAAACTTTAGGAGTTAGGAGTCTAACTCTTAAACCTACCAACGGAAGGCTGGAAAACGCACACTGCAGCCACAACTAGGATGACACCCGCGCCTCAGGGTGGCGGGACCGCGAGTTCTCGCGAGAACTACCTCACCTTCCTCCCCGCGCAATGCAGAAGGGTCGCGAACTCTCGCGAGAGCGGCTCAGGCTGGGCTCCCGGGAGGCGGAGAAAGATGGCGCGGCCCGGCCCGTCCTGGAGCCGGCTGGACCGGCAGCAGGAGCGCGATGTGCGCGAGCTCGTGCGCCATGTGGCAGGCCTCCGGGATGAGGCGGACCCCAACTTCCAGCTGTGCCTGAACTTCGCCTGGTCCAACTTCAGGTGCGAGGCGTGATGCTGGGCGGAGCCAGGAAGGGGTCGGGCAGGGTCAGCACTGCCCTGGTGGCCGCAGGGTCCGGTTGTGGGTCGTGCGGGACCTGAGTCTGCCCCATAGGTGTCCTCCCCCGCCGCACCGAGCGCTGCACCCAACGCAGCAAGCGCTTTTGAATGCATGGGCCAGTGAGATTTAGGGCAAAGTAATGGTCGCGCCTAGTTCAAACGGCGATCTCTGGGCGTCCTGTGCCTGCTGGGGTCGCTCCAGACCGCTCGCTCCTGGGTCTCCTTTTTCCTTCCGCGGAGGGCTGAGCAGGACGCGAGGGTCACTTGTGTGGGGCTCACTGCCCGGCCCTGCCCCCGCAGTCCAGCCCGGAGGTCCGTCCCACCCTGGGGGTCTGTTTGGGTCATTTCTCATCCCAACATCAGGAACAGTTACTGCCTTGTAGTGACGAAGCCGCCCATACACCCTCTAGTACAATCCCGAGATGTACGTAGTTTAGATGCTTAGGTGAAGTCAGAGCTCCTATTTTTGTTTATGGACGATGAAAATTAGGCAGCACTGTTAAGATAATCACCTGTAATGGAATTTTACTACTAAAAGTATGTTAGTTGGCGTTAATACTCTAACCGTGTAATTTCAGTAGAAATCTTGAGGACTAAATAGTCTTGCAAAATAAGTAATCTTGACTTTCAACCTTAATGATCATATATAAAGTGCCTACTTGGTTTACAAAGACTAACCACTGAGGTAAAAGTCCGCCAAATTTCTGAAATAATAAACTCAGTTTTTAAGTGTAACATAAATATTGCAATGTGTGAATAGGTCAAATAAAACAATGCTTTTCCTACAGGTTGAATGAGTTATTTTTCCTTTTTAAGGTTATCTCTTTTTTTAAGATTTTATTTGTTTATTTTTATACAGGGGAAGGGACTGAGAAAGAGGGAGAGAGACATCCCTGTGTGGTTGCCTCTCGGGTGCCCCCTACTGGGAACCTGTCCCACAACCCAGGCCTGTGCCCTAACAGGAAATTGAACCAGTGACCCTTTGGTTTGCAGGCCACCACTCAATCCACTGAGCTATCCCAGCCATGGCTTCCTTTTTAAGATTTTCTTTTTATTTTTTTAATCGACTTCATTGGGCTCCCCATGGTTAATAAAATTATATAGGTTTCAGCTGTACAATTCTACCATCCATTATCTGTGTATCGTATTACGTGTTCACCACCCCAAGTCAAGTCTTCTTTTGTGTCCATTTGTCCCCCTGTTCCCTCTTCTACCTCCACCCTTATTTTTATTTTTCTGTTACAGTTGACATTCAGTATTATTTTGTATTACTTTCAACTGTACAGCATAGTGCAGGGGTGTCAAAGTCATTTTCACCGGGGGCCACATCAACCTTGCAGTTGCCTTCAAAGGGCCGAAATGATTTTAGGACTGTATAAATGTAACTACTCCTTAACTGTTAAGAAATTGAAATTACATTGAGCCCTTTGAAGGCGACTGCAAGGCTGCTGTGGCCCCTGGTGAAAATGAGTTTGACCTCCCTGGCATAGTGGTTAGATATTCATACAATTTAAGAAGTGACCTTCCTATAAGTTTAGCACCCACCCGGCACCATGTACAGTTATTACAATATTATTGACTATATTTCCTATGCTGTACTTTGCATCCCTGTGACTATTTTGTAACTGTCAATTTTGCTGCTTAATCTCTCACCTTTGTCACCCAGTCTCCCAACGCCCCTCCCCTCTGGCAAACATCAGTTTTTTCTCTGTGTTTATGAGTTTCTGTTCTGTGTGTCTGTTTCTTTTGCTCTTTAGATTCCACATATAAGTGAAGTCGTATGGTATTTGAGTTTCTCTGACTGACTTTTTCATTTTGCATGATACCTTCTAGGTCCATCCCTGTTGTCACAAGTGGGAAGATTTCATTTTTGAAAAAAATTTATCTTCTTGATATTTTAGAGAGAGGAAAGGGAAGAGAGAGAAACATCCATCTGGTGTTGCACTTATTGATGTAGTCATTGTTTGCTTCTTGTATATGCACTAACCAGGAATCGAACCTAGAACCTTGGCATTAGCAGGAAGGTGCTCTAACAAAGTGAGCTATGCAGCCAGGGCAAGATTTCACTCTCTTTTATGGCTGAGTCATAGTCCATTGTGCGTATGTCCCACATCTTTTTTCTTCAGTCATCTGTTCATGGGCACAAGTGTTGTTTCCATAGTTTGGCTATTGTAAAGAACACTGCAAAGACAAATTTAAGTGCTGTAGCGCAAATAATTTCTGTACTGACCTTTCTAAATGGCAGTAAGAGGATGGACATCATTTGAGGGTTGGGAAAGACTAAAAGTTACCATCTCCTTCTACACATTGAGAAACTAAACACATTATGATAGGTGAAGTACCGTTCCACTTGGCCATTTAGAGGATAGAATTAAGGTTACCTGGTAATGTCATTTACTTCATTTAAATACAGATTGTGGGCTCTGATACTGAAAAGTGGAAAACAGGAGTCATTGTGCTATACTGTGGTTTTATGAACTCTTAATCCATCAGAAAAATGAACAATTTTTTTCGGCTTTTAAAAATTGCAGCCATGTTGTAAGCCCTAGAAATTCAGAGATAGGTGAGATTCTTTTTGTCCTTAAGAGAAAGAGAAATTGAAGTTAATCACATGTCATCACATAATATCTTGGATAGGCCTTTATTATTTTTTCTTTTAAGGATTTTATTTATTTTTAGAGAAGGGAAGGGAGGGAGGGAGAAGGAAACATCAATGTGTGGTTATGTCTCACGCCCCCTACTGGGGACTTGGCTGGCAAGTTAGGCATGTACCGTGAATGGGAATTGAACTGGTGACCCTTTGGTTTGCAGGCTAGTGCTCAATCCACTGAACCACACCAGCCAGGGCCGGAATAGGCCTTCTTAACACGAGGGCCTGAAGATAGAATTCAGGTGTTATAAATGTGGGCGAGAAAAAATTTCCACCAACCTCTAACTAAAGAGTAACATTTCTTTCAATTATGAATGAACGCAACAAGCAATATTAGCTTACCTGTGAGTGTATCAGCAGTAGAAATCACATGTTTTAGGTCATATTTTAGTTGTAGATATATCTACATATTGTTTAGGTCACTTTAATGTTAGCTATGAACCCACTGCTAGACCTTGTTATTTAATGCTTTTTGAAAGAAATGCCTTGCCTTGTCCACTGTGGCTCATTTGGTTGGAGTATCGTCTGGTACACCAGAAGGTTGGTAGGTTCCATGCCCCGTTAGGTTGTGGGTTCAATCCCTGGTCGGGACGCATACTAGAGGCAGCCAATAGGTGTGTGTAGTGTCTGTCTGTCTGTGTGTATCTCTCTCTCTCTCTCTCTCCCTTCCTTCCTGAAAGCAATGAAAAAATGCCCTCAGGTGAGTATTAAAGGGAAAAAAAGGGAATGTCTCATTATATGCCACACTTTTAGGAACACTTCACAACTGTATTTCACTATTTTCAGTTACTGTTGTATATTTCATTTTGCGATTTAAGACATTCTGCCTTGACCTGGCTGGCATAGCTCAGTGGATTGAGCGCGGGCTGCAAACCAAAGCATCGCAGGTTCGATTCCCAGTCAGAGCACATTCCTGGGTTGCAGGCCACGGCCCCCAGCAACCGCACATTGATGTTTCCCTCTCTCTTTCTCCCTCCCTTCCCTCTCTAAAAATAAATGAATAAAATCTTTTAAAAAATAAATAAATAAAAGACGTTCTGCCCTGGCTGGTGTGACTCAGTGGAGTGAGCGCGGGCCTGTGAACAGAAGGGTCACCAGCATGATTCCCAGTGAGGGCACAAGCCTGGGTTGTGGACGGTCCCCCCGGTTGGGGATGTGCGAGAGGCAACCAACTGATGTTTCTCTTGCACATTGGTGTTTCTCTCCCTCTCTTTCTCTCTCCCCTACCCTTTCTCTGAAAATATATAAATAAAATCTTTAAAAAAATATTCTGAGAGGGGGTCTTACCTTCACTGGGCTCCCTATAGCATAAAAAGGTTAGGCACTCTGATACAGGATGTGCTGTGTTGGGCCCAGACACAGGGCATTGTGGGAAGATGGAGCAGCCAGAGGACAGGGTGGGGCAGCTCAGGGGGACCTGTGTCCCACTGGAAGGAGCCTGAGCCGTCTCAGATGCCAAGGTCGTGCCCAGGGACGGCAAAGGGGATGCAGCAACAGAGGAGCGCTCCTGTGTGTCACTGAGTGTAGGGTGTGTCCAGGGACACGGGGGGCAGTGATGCTAGTCTGCTTATCGAGGTGACAGGGTTGATGTAAGAATTGCATTTGATGTCCTAGATTCCATCGTTTCTTGGATGTGAACAGTCACAAAGTAGAAAAGACCATAGAAGGGTAAGTTGATTTCATCTATATGTCTATCCATGTAGATCTTTTCATTCATAGAGCTTTATGACCATCCATTGACTTTCAAAATTATGTTTTAGAATTTATGAAAAATTCATCATTCATTCCGATCTCGGTAAAGCTGCTAGTTGGAAGAGATTAACTGAGGAATTTCTCAATGCATCACTTCCGAGCACAAAGGAGACAAAGGTAGGCATTATAATACCGTGAGGTCTCTTGTGAATTTTACCATTTCCAATCTGGTTGTGGACAGCTCGTTTCTGCCAGTTAAACATTCATTCTCTTAGTATTGTTCGCTGGCTAGAGCAGAATACCCTGGAAACCGACCCAAGTGTTACCTGGAACCCAGTGTGACTCAGGCCTGAGGAGAATGAACAAGCTCTTGGGTATTTATTTCAATCCTAGCCTCCTAGGAAAATTGAGATCAGAGATTGGCATGAATAATAGCACTATGTGGCTATCTTAAGTGTTTTTGTTTCTTAATTTTTATTTAATTTTTATTTTTTAAAAGATTCTATTTATTCAATTTTAAAGAGAGGGGAAGGGAGGGAGAAAGAGAGGGAGAGAAACATGAATGTGTGGTTGCCTCTCTCACGGCCCCTACTGGGGACCTGGCCTGCAACCCAGGCATGAGCCCTGACTGAGAATCGAAGACCCCTTGATTCATAGCCGGTGCTGAATCCACTGAGCTACGCCAGCCCAGGGCTATTTTATTTTATTTTTTGAGAGAGAGGAAGGGAGGGAGAAAGAGAGAAACATCGACTTGTAATCGAACCAGCGACCTTTAGGTTTGTGGGAGAACACCCAACCAACCAAGCCACACTGGCTGCAGCTAGCTTAAGTGTTTTAAATCCGTGGTCCCCAACCTTTTTGGCACCAGGGTCAAGTTTTGTGGAAGACAGTTTTTCCACAGACCAGGGTGGGGGGATGGTTTCGGGATGATTCAAGCGCATTACAGTGAAGCTCCCGTCCTACTGGGCGGCCTGACTCCTAACCGGTACTGGTCAGTGGCCTGAAGGTGGGCCTCCGTTTTACCTGGCTTCTCAGCCCTTGGCAATAAGAACAACCTATGAAATGGTGCTGTAAGCACTTTCAGATTCCATCATAGGTCCCCAAGCTCACCCTGATACTTGAGGATTCTCTACTAGAGGGGTTTACAAAACTTTACAAAAGCTGCCCTCTTCCTGTTACGGTTGATTACACTGGAATGATACAGATTAAAAGGAGCAAAGGGAAACCATTTCCTGGGGTGACAGCTGGGAGAAACCAGGCACCAGCTCTCCAGGGTTCCTTCCCAGTGGAGTCACGAGGGAGGGAGTGCCCTTGGTTCGTGCAGTGACAGTGTGTGACCACACACACACAGTGCCTCGAACCAGGGAAGCTCCCCGGTGCCTTGGTGCCCCCAGGTCTTTGTTTGGGGGTCTGTCACATGGACACGCAGTGCCCACGTGGCTGACCCTGCCACTCGGTGTGCAGCCCCACAGAGGTCCATCCGATGACCTCAAGCAGACGGAAACAGGCATTCACTGTAAGGCACATTGGTGCTGTCAACAGTCTGGTGTGTGGCCTGAAGCCTCTAGCTCAGGGGTGTCAAACTCATTGTCACCAGGGGCCACATGAGCCTCACGGTTGCCTTCAAGGGGCCGAGTGTAATTTTAGGACTGTATGCATGTAACTACTCCTTAACAGTTAAACGGGAGAGCTCAGTGCTGCCACTGGGTAGAAACAAGGTGCCCGGCCGGATAAAAGAAGGTGGAGGGCCGGATTCGGCTCACGGGCCACACGTTTGCCACCTGTGCTCTAGCATACACAAACCCGTCTCCGCAGGGTACCCCCAGGGCTCGGGTTCTGTGTCGGAAGCCAGGGGAGCGCCAGTCCTGAAGACCTTCCTGGGGTTCCCAGCTGGGTCAGCTAGGCATCTGATCCAACTGGCTTGACCTTCCCAGTGACCTCTGTTGCGCGAGGCTGTCTCTTTGTTCAGCAGGGTGTCTGGCCCTCGGTCAGCGGACACATGCGGCCCAGGATAGCTGTGAATGTGGTCCAACACCAAATTGTAAATGTCCTCCAAAACCTTTTTTTTTTCCCATTCATCTGTTTTCATTACTGTTTGTGCATTAAACGCATGGCCCAAAACAACTCTTCTTCTTGTGTGGCCCAGAGGCGCCAAAAGGTTGGATGACCCTGGGCCACTCTGCGCTGTGAAAGTCGGTGTCCCACGGAAGAGAGCCTCAGACACCTTCAGGGATGGCTCTGAAGGTATTTCTGGAGAAGAGAGAGCTGCAGTCTCTCTGAGTGTGTGCCGTCGGGGGAGAATGCTCCCTGAGACCTTGCCTGCAGCTTCCTGGGGAGCCTGTGGAATTGAATGAAGACATTCAATCCTACAATACCATAGTGTTAATAGTAAAAAGAGTGTCATGTGTGTTTAGAGCCCTCAGTACACGACAGGCCCCGTGACTCCCACAGCCAGCAGCATCAGACAGCCAGCAGCATCAGCAGATACAGGTGCTCCTCCCCAACCCTGGTCCTGCAGACTAACACGGTGAAACAGTGAGGGTCACTTCCAACTTGACTTTGACCTTTTCATTCCCATCTTCAGTTGTTTCTCTGTGCCCCTGCAGCTGTAGGCCCCCAACCAGGTACCTGGCCTGCAACCCAGGCAGGTGCCCTGACTGGGAATCGAACTGGTGACTCTTTGCTTTACAGGCCAGCACTGAGTCCACTGAGCCACATGAGCCAGGGCGCTTCAGGCCATTTTGGAGCCTGCCTTGGCTCACGCTCTGTTGGCTCTCGTCCTCTCTGTGCGTGGACTCTGACACCCATGGTCTAGCGTGTGTTGGGGGGGGTGGATCCACGCCAGTCTCTTCTGTGCATGTGTCACAGCCTTCCAGTCACCCTGAGAAGTATGGCAAGCTCAGCAACCCTCTTGGGCTGTCTGGCAGCCAGGAGCTGCCAGGGAAGTCCTCGGCTGGTCCCCTGGCCCACAGCGTGCCGCACAGAGGCCCCATCACTGGCTGCCCTGCTCACCTGCCATTGCAGTTACCACTTTAACTGACAGCTCTGTGGTCCAGGTAACTCTCCCCTGTCAAGGCCATGAGGCTGCTGTTGCCACTTCCTGTCCGGCCTCCGGCCCTGGTTGAACACCGCTCTGATAGGGCAGGAGGGAGGAGGGGACGTGGCCCCAGGCCACTGGGCCATAAACACACCATTCTTACCTGTGGTGGCTGGTCTGCCTGCGCACTTCACAGCCCAATCAGACGCAGTCAGGAGTTTGCAGCCAAGAAAGGAAGGGTGTCCTGTGGAGGAAATGGTGCAGAGTCCCAGTCACAGGTGAGCTAGTGCTCAAGGCCGGGCTCCCCGCTGGCCTCCAGGGGCTGGCTGTATAGAGAAAAAATGTTAATCAGGGTGGCTAAAGGCTTCGGTTGGTGGGCTCTGCCAGTGGGCCGGGAAGGGAGTAGTTGATTGTTGTATTAGGTCCTGATGTCAGCCACGCTGTTGCTCTGTCTCATGCCCTCAGGGTGTGGTCCCTGGGGTTATTTGGGGTTGTATGGGCCTGGGCCTGAAATGCAGCTGAAGCCAAGGTGTTATCTGTAGCTCGACTGAAACTCTATTTCTGTGGTCAGTGGACCTGAGGCTTTGCCTGTTCTTTCCCCATGGTAAAGCCTGCCTTATTAGTGGTAGTTAGTACCAATCAGTAAATACTGATCCCGAAAGAAGAACCCGATCATTTATCAGCTTACTGATCCACAACTGAATGAAACTGAACCAACTGATTGGTGGGAGGGGAAACCGAATCACTCCTGCTTATTGGGGAGTGAAGCCGCAGCCAGCTGATGCCTGGCGTGGCCCCCCACCTGTGAGAATCACGGGGCTCTGCACAGCAGGGCATCGGCCACCCTGTGTTTACGTGCCCCGGAATCCCACCATCCCCCTGAAATAGCTTTGTTTTCTCTGGACCCTCATTGCCAAACCGCCTGTGTGAAGCAGTACCTGTGGTCCCCTGGGCAATTTTACGAAGAGCCAGCAGATGCCACATCGCGTGGGCTCAGTGACTGCCCCCCCCCCCAAGCCGGGACAGCTAAATGCTGGGTGTGACGCACTGTTTCTGAGACAGTTTGATACTAACCAGGATCTGATGTCCTAAGGGCTCAACGAGGAAAGAAGGGAGTGGATGGGACAGAAAGGAGAAAGGGCATGTCGAAGAGTCGTTTTTATGAATTAACACTTGCTGTGCTCCAGCAGTCTAAGATTTTATTTGTTTATGTAGAGAGGGGAAGGGAGGAAGAGGGGGAATGAAACATCAATGTGTGGTTGTCTTTCATGCGCCCCCTACTGGGGACCTGGCCCGCAGCCCAGGCATGTGCCTTGACTGGGAATCGAACTGGTGACTTTTTGGTTTGGAGGCCAGCGCTCAATCTGCTGATCCACACCAGCTAGGGCTCATCTACCTTTATAATTCGCTTTTGTGGAGAAGATTTGAAGACCGCCATCCTGCATTATTCCAGAAGCAAAGTACTGTACACATGCCCTTCAACTTTCTGTGGTAACTTGAACCTTTTTCAGGTGCATAGAGCCCCCCTTTCCCCACAAAAAGCCCAGTCTGACAGCAGTTATTACTAAATAATAGATTTATACAGTGAGACTTATTTCCTTCAAGTACAGTTGGCCCTTGAACCACATCGGTGTGATGTGTGTGGGACCTGTTGTGTGCAGTGACCCACGGACTTCAGTTGAGCCACACAGTCAAGCCCAGGTTGTTCAAGGGCCAGCCGACGGTTGGGAACCTGCGTGTGCAGATTAAGTTGTATGTGGACTTTTCACTGTGTGGACAGCCAGTACCCTTCCTCCCCAAGTTGTTCAAGGGTCAGCTGTATTTACATTTTAGATGACTTTTTTTGGGGGAGGAATAAAATTCTCTGTGGGCCTGGGCTGGGGAGTGAGTTGGTTAGAGTGTTGTCCCAGTCCAGCAACGTTGCAGGTTCGATCCCTAGTCGGAGCACATACAAGAATCAACCAATGAGTGTATCAGTAAGTGGAGTAAGAAATTGATGTTTCCCTCTCCCCACCCCCTCTCTCTAATGTCAGTAATTCAAATTTTAAAAAAATCTTGGTGAAGGAATTTCCGGCATCCCTAAAAATTTATTGATCATGCTATTACAGTTGTTCAAATTTTTTCCCCTTTTGCCCCCCTTCACCCAGTACCCCCGTTCCCTCTGGCATTCCCCCCTCTTAGTTCATGTCCTGGGTCGTGCATGGAAGTTCTTTGGCTACTTCATTTCCTGTGCTCTTCTTAACATCCCCCTTTCTATTCTGTAACTACAAATTTATACTTCTTAATTCCTGCGCCTTTCCCCGTTCTCCCCCTTTCCCCACCCAACTGATAACTCCCCAAATGATCTCCCACTCTATGATTCAGTTCCTGTTCTGCTTGTTTACTTAGTTTGATTTTTAGATTGAATTGATAGTTGTCAATTTATTGCCATTTTAATGTTCTTAGTTTTGACCTTCTTCATTTTCTTATATAATTCTCTTTAGCATTTCGTATAATAATGGTTTAGTGATGAAGAACTCCTCTAGTTTCTCCTTGTCTGGGAAGCACTTTATCTGCCCTTTGATTCTAAATGATAGCTTTTCTGGGTAGAGTAATCTTGGCTGTAGGTCCCTTGCTTTTCTTCACTTTGAATACTTCTTGCCTGTCCCTTCTAGGCTGGAAAGTTTCTGTTGAGAAATCAGTTGAGAATCTTACAGGAACGCCTTTGTAGGTGCTGTATTTTTCGGACCATAAGATGCACCTAGGTTTTAGAGGAGGAAAATAGAGGGGAAAATTTTGAAGCACAAATTTGGTAAAATATTTAATAATATAAAGAATATACTATTTCACCAATGTAAATGTAAACTGAACTCAACAGCAATCAAACTGAACTCATTAACAATTATTATTCATCCCAAATCGGGGGGAGGGTGCGTCTTATAGTCTGAAAAATATGGTGACTGCCTTTTTCTTGCTGCTTTAAGATTCTCTTTATCTTTAACTTTGGCATTTTAATTATGATGTGTCTTGCATGGTGCTCTTTGGGTCTATCCTGCTTGGGTCTCTCTGTGCTTCCTGGACTTGCATGTCTGTTTCCTTTGCCAAATGAGGGAAGTTTTCTTTCATTCTTTTTTCAAATAGATTTACAGTTTCTTCCTCTTTCTCTTCTCCTTCTGGCGCCCCTGTGATGCGAATGTTGGAATTCTTGAAGTTGTCCCAGGGGCTCCTACCCATATCCTCATTTTTTTGGATTCTTTTTTCTTCTTGCTGTTCTGAATGAATTTTTTTCCCCTTATATTCCAAATCATTGATTTGATTATTGGCTTCATCCGTTCCACCGTTCATCCCCTGTAATTTTTTCATTTCACTTTGTATAACCTTCGTTTCTGACTGGATCTTTTTTATGCTGCTGAGGTCCTCGCTCAGTTCCTTCAGCATCCTGATAACCAGTGTTTTGAACTCTGCATGTGATAGATTGCTTTATTCCATTGTGTTAATTTTTTTTTTTTTTGAGTTGTGATCTGTTCTTTCATTTGGGCCATGTTTCTTTGTCTCCTCATTTCGGCAGCCTCCCTGTGTTTGTTCCTGTGTATTGGGTAGAGCTGCTTTGACTCCCTGTCTACTGGTGCAGCCTGACGTAGACAGGTGCACCCTTAAATTGAATGGGGTGGAGCCTTACATACTTGCCAGAGCAGGGCCACCCATGTGAACCAGGTGGGTGGAGCCTAAGATACAATGTAGCTGCTCTGTGGCTCTGCCTTTGGGAAGGCTTAGAAGAAGGACAATGGCCGATGCCTGGTCTCTGGAGTTTTGCCCCAGAGGAAGCTGTCCCCCAGCACTCGCCCTGATGCCACACGCTTCAGTTTCTGCCATCGTATGCCACCGGTGCCCCTCAGCTGCTGCCCCGGTGCTGGAGCCCTGAGGGAGGGAGTGTGTGAGTCCTAAGTCCATTGCGGACCCTTTAAGAGGAGGCGCCTAAGAATCCTAAAGTTTCTCCCACTGCCCCAACTACTTATTGGTTATTATAGTCAGAAATCATGGGGACTTCTATTCCTGGCACTGGAGCCCTGGGCTGGGTGGTCTGGTGTGGGGCTGGGACCCCCTGCTCCTGAAGAATCCTTCCCTATTTTATCCACCACACCTGCTCCGCACCTTCACGTGTCCGCCCCTCCTCTGCGTCTGGTTGAATGTGAGTTCTTTAATTCCTTGGTTTTAAGACTTCCATGCAGCTCATCTATTATTCTGGGTGATCATTTTTTAGTTGCATTGATTGCTGTGGTTGTGTGAGGAGGCGAGCTTTGTGTGCCCACGCCTCCATCTTTCCCAGAAGTGTCAAGCATTTTTGAGCAGGTGAGGAATTCTGAACTAACGGGCAGCTCCTTGGAACCTTATTAGTGATTTATTACTTTCTCATTTCCGGGAAAGCTTACCAAGTGTCTGCTCGGTCCCTAGCTTCATACTGAGTGGTAGGAATACAGAATACGGAAGACTCAGCGTCACCTACTAGTGACAACAACAAACACTGGGAGATGCACACAAGATGCTCTGGACCACAGAGTGGGGAGAGCGGACGTGGCTTTGGACGTCAAAGACGTCCCTCACCCTGCCTGCATGCACAGTTTATGGCTTTTAGCACACTTGGGGTGTTTTCATCTTTCAGTAAACAACCGAAACTATGTACCTTAATAGTTACATAGTTTCTCTATATGTAACTTAATCAATGTAGTTTATGTTTTAAAAAAACAGGAAGAAAAGTTAAAGAATAGTAAAGGGAACCCTGTGCTCCCTTGCCTCAGGTTCTTCTACTGGCGTCTGACCGGGCACAGTTCCTTGGCCTTTCTTTTTCTTGACCTTGACGTTCAGGATTGCACAGGCCAATTACTTGGTAGCACGTCCCTCAACTTAGGTTTGTCAGACAGTTCCGCATTACGATTTGGGTAATGCATTTTTGACAGGTTCCTCGTGTATACACATTTGCACTCTCAAAATAGTTCAGAACAGTGCACATATACAATGGAATAATACTCAGCCAAAGAAAAAAGAAAGAAAAGAATGAAATCTTAGCCTTTGCAACAGCATGGAAGGACCCAGAGGGTGTTGTGCTAAGTGAAATAACTCAGGCAAAGAAGGACGAATATCATACGACTTCAGTTTTGTGTGGACTGTGAAAGACAAGATAAACAAACAGACACAGATTCGCAGATACAGAGGACAGACTGGCCGTGGCCACGGCGGGGGATAGGGGAGGTTGGGGTGAAAAGGTGAAGAGATGGAGTACAGATTGGCTGTCACCAACCACTCATGGGTCCCTGCCCGGTGTGGCCCCGTTGGTTGGGCACCATCCCTTAAAGTGAAAGGTCGCTGGTTCAGTCCCCTCTTCTAAAAAGTTAAACACACAGTCACAGGGATGTGGAGTACAGCACAGGAAATATGGTCAATAGTATTGTAATAACTATGATGTCAGGTGGGTACTTGAAGTATCCAGGGACACACTAGGTAAAATATATGACTGTCTAACCACTGTGCTATACACCTGAAAGCAACACGAAATATTATTGAATGTTGACTGCAACTGAAAAATAAAATCTAAAAGAATAGTTTAGAGCTTAGGAGTCGTTTCACTATAGTTCCTGTTTTCTCACCCAGAAAAACGATTGAGGTCATACTGTCTGGAATTATCTTTTCGGGTTTTTTTTTAAGATTTTACTTGTTTATTTTCAAAGAGAGAAGGGAAGACGACAGAGGAAGAGAAACATCAATGTGCGGTTGCCCCTACTGGGGACCTGACCTGCAACCCAGGCTTGTGGCCTGACTGGGAATCGAATCCTCAACCCTTTGGTTCACAGGCCCATGCTCAGTCCACTGAGCTGTACCAGCCAGGGATTACGTTTTCTGTACTCAGACTAGTCTTAAAAGCTCTCAGCAACCTCAGTGTGGCTCACGTTCTTCACTTTTGTTTTCAAGACAGATGCGCATTACTCCATACTGTCCCTTCTCCTCTGCCTGTCTGACTCTCCTTCCAACTGTGGTTATGTGGAGACACCGAGAGAAAAAGAAGTGGGTACGTTATCAGATGCCTTAATCTGTAAAACTAAAAGAGAACTTAGTTTCGCTGCTTAATTATTAGACATTGAGATTTTATAAAACCTTGTAAACATCTATGAAGCTAAAATATTTCTGTTGCCTCGGATACACTTGCGATTGCAAATATTCATTTAAAATATAAATTCTGACTTTGTAAGTTGCACTACTTTCAATGATAGTAATAGAAAGAGAAAATTTGCATTTGAAGATAAAGAAATTTAAAACGTATTCGAATCATTTCCCAAGTGCATTTTATTTTTGAGTGTTGGAAGCCTTTTTTTCTTACAGTTTTGCATATATTCACACACAGTTGGTAACGCCAATGAGACTCTTCTGTTACATTTCAGAAAAGAAAGACGACTTTGACTGGGGCAAGTACTTGCTGGAAGGCGAAGAAGTTGGCCTGAGTCCAGATGCGGACACACCGGTAAGTGGCAGTCGTTTTGCGCTTGAAACAATATCTGTTCCAAGTGACGTGGGTGACTTTTATGGGTCCTCTGTTCTGCAGCATGTCGGCTGCAACAGGAACATTCTTCACTGAACAGTAAGACGTCATTTATTTATTTATTTTTAGAGGGGGGTAAGGGAGGGAGACAGAAAGGGAGATAAACATCAGTGTGTGGTTGCCTCTCATACGCCCCCTACTGGGGACCTGGCCCACACCCCAGGCATTTGCCCTGAGTGGGAATCGAACTGGGCACCCTTTGGTTTGCAGGCCAGCTCTCAATCCACTGAGCCCCACCAGCCAAGGTCAGAATAGTTTCTTATGGAAGACCCATTAAGGGCTCGCGTCAAATCATCAGTACTGGGGAGCTGAACAGAGTGCATATACTTAAAGCATCGTTTGAGGAGCTGTGAGTGCTGGGATGTCTGCCACCAGAAATAATGTCACTCTGTTATAGTGACTTTCCAGATACTTAGAAGAAGCTCCGTTCAGTCTAGTTGCTGCATTTCTCCTGAAATTTTCCTGATCTTTTAATATAAATAGCTCCTGGTGTATCAGGGTAAGGCATATCTCCTCTTCTAATCAGAACTGGTCTGAAGAAAGTGAGGACGAGGACGATCAGCAGCCCTTGAGCAGAGAGGACTCTGGGATTCAGGTGGACCGCACACCTTTGGAAGAACAGGACCACCACAGAAAACCGGGGCCACGTGTTGGCTGGAAAGGTACCATGTTCGTGGATGCTGGCATCTGTTGTTTTTGTTTTAAGATTTTACCTATTTTTAGAGAGAGGGGAAGGAAGGGAGAAACACATCACTAGGTTGCCCTCACATGCTGTCAGCCAGAATCCAAGCCTGCAACGGAGGCATATGCCGTGACTGGGAATTGAACCAGTGACCTTTCCGTTTGTGGGACGACACTCAATCCACTGAGCCAGACCAGCCAGGGCTGTTTTAGTTGATATTTTTTGTTGGAGAAGGATCATCTTTGCTAAGGTTGGTAACTAAAAGGAAAAGATCTATACTGTTTAATTTTCAATTTGGATGTCTGCTTTTTCCGTTTGTAGTGAAGAACTATGAATTTGTAGAATCTAGAAAGAGCTGTAGGCAACCTGATAGATTAGGTCATCAAATCCACGTCTTGTTTTGTAGATAAGGAAATGAGGCCTGATTACAGTGGTTTTCCCATGCTCATACAGCCATGACATATACCCCAGCCACTGGGGTGGACGACCAGCCCTAGGCAGTGGACTTCAACATTGCCAAGTGGACATAGCATCATTAAAACTGATTTTAGCATCCTGATGAGCTTCTGGCTTTCTTTTCCCTTTCCTTCCTTTCTACTTCGTGATGTGGACCTTTGGGGCCGAGTGTGGCCTAGTCCACGCACAGCCAGTCACTGACACCAGCGTGTTCAGGGCCTTGCGTTGATTTCCTCTCCGCTGGCCTTTCGTGCTCACCGCAGTCCCCAGCGGCAGACACCTGCTCTGAAGGAGCCGATGCCTGTGTTCTCACGTGTTGACTGCTTGTGCGACACTTTGCGGTGGTTGGCAGGCTCTGGTCGTAGGTTGCGTGCAGATGCGATGCTGCATGGAACCTTGGACCTGTTCTCTGCATGGAGCTCTGGGGCAAGTCTGCCCACATCGCCTTGTGACCATTTCCTCCACTCCCAGAGCCGCTGTGGAGGATTCGGCCCTTTGCAACTGCACATTCTGTTCGTGGTCCCTGTGGGTCATTACAACGTATTGACCATTTCGCTTGCATTTTGCGTTTTGTTTTCTGCCAAACCTCACCCTTCAGACTTCTTTGGATATCTAGATATTATTTCCTAGGTTTTAAACATTGTAATTATCTTAGTCACCTGAGTATTAATATTTTGCAGAATATCCTTTGATGTCATTTTTGAAAATGTCAAACCTGTGCATTTTTCATGGTGTTGATTATTTGGGTCTTGATACTTTTCTCTACAAAAACATCCTATTCGCTGTTTTTTCACAACCTAAGGTTTGTTCCCCAGCGCCCGCCAGGCCCACTGATACACACAGAGTGAGGTTCAAGGTCCCGCTTGCTTGCTTCTCCACGTCCTGGGCCAGTTTTCCCAGCAGCATCTCGTGAGCAGTCCCTTCTTCCCACGCTGCTCTGGGCTCCCGCCGTTGTCCTGTTTCAACACGTGGATTTATTTCTGCACATCCCATCCTCTTTCCTTAATGCCAAGGAGCGAGTGCTTCTCTTCTTGTGGCTTGGTAATAGGTCTCAGCACACAGAAGGCAAGTTTACCCTCACCTCCTCTACTCTTTTCCAAAACCAGCCTGGCTCTCTCTTTCTTCCCTAGACATTTTAGAAGCAGTATGATAGGTTCCGTTTTGAAAATCCAGCTGGAATTTTTATTGGGATTGTGTTGAATTTATGGGTTTAGCTTAGGAAATATTTGACATCATTCCTATGAAAATACCTACATTTCTTTTAAGTCTTTATGTCTTAGTGGAGTTTAGAAATTTTCTTTATAAAGATTTAAGTATCTGTTTGTTGGTTTGTACAGTGTTAACAGGTTTTGTTGTGAGTGAAGTCTTTTTTGTTTTTATTGCATGTGTAGAACACTATTTTCTTATAAATTGTTCTTATATCCAACTTCCTTGCTGAACTCTCACTTTAATTATAGAAGTTTGTTTATTCCATTAGGTTTTTTTGTATAGATCAGCATCTTCTGCCAATATTGACGGTAGTATCTCCTTCTCCTGGTTTTTATATGTTATGTCTTCTTCAAGGCGTGTTAGCAGTCTCTGTGTTCCGGCCAGCCCCCTAGTCTGCAGGGGAAGCTGGGGAGGTGAAGTGGGTGGGTTTCATCCTAAGAAGTCTGCACCTGAGATTCCTCCACAGAGTGTAATGGGCTTGGGTACAGGTTCTGGGCACGTGGCCTTTATGAAATTGATGCAGTTTCATTCCTAGGAGTCTGTAGTCATGAATGAATATTGAACTTTATCGAATTCTATTCTTTATTTGGAAGATAACCCTGTAATTTTTTCTTTTACTCTGCTATTTTTTTAAGGATATTGCTTATTTATTTTTAGAGAGGGGGAAGGGAGGGAGAAAGAGAGGGAGAGGAACATCCATGTGTGGTTGCCTCTCACGCGCCCCCTACTGGGGTCCTGGCCAGCAACTCAGGCCTGTGCCCTGACTGGGGGTCTAACTGGCGACCCTTTGGATTGCAGGCCGGCACTCAATCCACTGAGCCACATCAGCCAGGGCTATTCTGTTTTTTGTTTTTTGTTTTTATTTTTTTACTACATTATTGGATTGTGTTAACTAGTTTTAAATTTTTTTCTCAAGTTTTCAATTACAGTTGACATTCAATATTATTTTCAGGTGTAGAGCATCTGGTTACACATATAAATACCCTACAGAGTAACCCCTCTGAGAAATCTTGAACAGGTCTGAAATGATACATAGTTATTACAATGTTACTGGCTATATTCCCTGTGCTGTACTTTACACCCCATGACTATTTTGTAACTACCAATTTCTCCTTCATCCCTTCACCTTTTTCCCCCAGCTCCCCAACCCCCTTCCTGTCTGGTGACCAGCAGTCTGTTCTCTGTGTCTACGAGTGTATTTCTGTTCTGTTCATTTATCTTATTTTCTTGATTCCACATATAAGTGAAATTATATGGTATTTATATGACTTACTCTGTTTGGCATAATGAGTTGAAGGCCCATCCATTTTGTCAAAAACGGTAAGATTATATTCTCTTTTTTGGCCGAGTAATGTTCCATTGCTCATACTCACCATTTCCTTATGCAGTCACCTACCCGTGGGCACACAGGTTGCTTCCATACCTTGGCAATGAGTCTGTGTGCAGGCCCTTTAAGTGGGCACCTTGGTTTCCGACAGAGTCCCATCTCACCTGGATGGATGGAACCCCTCTGGTCTCCACATCCATTGGGGTCTCCTCTTTCCGGCACTCCGGCACTGGGGCCCCAGGCTGGGGAGCCTGCTGTGGGGCTGGGACTTCTCTCGCTCTTTAATATATGGTTTTGAATGAATATTGTCAGGTGTTTTTTTTTTAAGATTGTATTTATCCTTAGATAGGGGACACAAGGGAAACATCAGTGTGTGGCTGCCTCTCGAGTGCCCCCTACTGGGGACCTGGTCCACAACCAAGGCATCTGCCCTGATTGGGAATCGAACCGGCAGCTCTCTGGTTCACAAGCCAGCACTCAGTTCCACTAGCCGCGGCAGCCAGGGCAGTAGCTGTTATTTTAAAGAACCTTTTCCTATTGAATGTTTGAATGGAGTCATGAGTTCAGATACTGTTACAAAGGTGATCCTACTTTGTCGTTAGCATATAACGTAACCGTGTTAACTTGAACTTTCCTCCAGCGGAGGAGCCAGATGCCCGCAGCTGGCTGGAGCAGCACGTGGTCCGGCAGTACTGGACAGCGCGCACCTCGAAGTTCCCTCACAGCCTGCATTTGCATTCCAATTTGGCTGCTGTCTGGTAAGAGCCCAGGGTTTCATTTCATGTGCTAACAGAAGAAACTTTGGCTGGGGCCTGCCAGAGCCAAGTCCCTGGCAGGCATCGAGTCTGGGTCTAGGTTGGAATTGGCACAGTGAGAATTCCTGGGGAAACCCTGCCTTCCCTCCTGTCTCCAGCTGCCGCAAGCAGAACCCTCCCCTAAGGCATCCACATGCACGGAGTGGAGGTTGACGGCTGTGTGGTGCGCGTTGTATTGGGCGCTGCTGCCTGGGGCCTCCGGCCTGAGCGGCCTCTGCTCTGCTGGTGTCCACCAGAGGCCGGAGTGGTGACCGCCCTTGGGTGGCTGCAGACGTGTCCCAGTGGCTTCCAGTGACATGCTGTGGAATTGGGGGAGCTGACGAGAATGAGACTTCGTTGTCAGCAAGTTCTGAAAGTGTGAGCCCAGTGACACCGTGTCTGCAGTCGCTGTCCTGAGCTCCGGCACCCGGGCTCTGGGGGGTGGCGAGGACTTTGCACCAGGTGTGGGACGAGACTCCTGCCGCGCTCACTCTGCGCAGGCCACCAGTGTGGCGGCCCCTCCCTGCAGGGACCCTGTGTTTCTTCCATGCAGTGAGGAACCTGGAACTTGCCTCTAAGAGACCCGTGTTCCAGGCCAGCATCACAAAAGGGCCACACAGCCCCTGGCCACTTTCCTTTGTCACAGCCCTGGTGCCTCAGCAGAGTGACGCCTTTGCCACTGGGGACCGGGCTAGGCCCCTCGTGGGCGCCCAGGGTGCACCACTCACCCTTCTCTCACGGAATGTGCGCTCTGCCAACGTGCTGCTGCCTCCCTGGGGCCCTTCCTTGAGCACCGCCCCCGGCTGTGCTGCACCCAGGCCTGTGCTGCTGGGTCCCCACCCAGTCACCCCCTTTCTCACCACAGTGGACTGGGACCATCCACTCACCCACCACATGGGGACGGACAGGGACCACGTGCCTGACCAGCTCAGCAGAGGCCAGCGTGGCAGCTTTCCAAACTCAGAGACCAAAAGTGACCACACAGGATGGTCAGACATGAAGACTTCATAAATAAAAGTAGGTCATAGCAGGCGGTTACATCCTGGGTCACATCCTGGGCTGGACTCTGCCCCAGAAGATGTCAGTCTTCACCTAATGAAGCCTGTCTGCTGTGTCTGCACCTGAGATGAGCCACCTTTGGGATGTCAACGGAATCTCCTTTTTCCAGACCTCTCACAGCAGAGGCACCATGCCACAGGGAGACCACAAATCCCCTCTTTGTTATTTTTTGTAAAGATTTTGTTTATTTATTTTTAGACAGAGGGGAAGGGCAGGAGAAAGAGAGGGAGTAAACATCGATGTGTAGTTACCTCTCATGAATCCCTGCTGTGGGAACTTGGCCCACAACCTAGCCATGTGCCCTGACTGGGAATCGAACCCGCAACCTTTGGCTTTCAGGCCTGTGCTAAATCCACTGAGCTACACCACCCAGGGTTAATCCCCTCATTATTGATGTTATCATGTTAATTGTTGACTGTCAACTGTCCTGTCCCCAGCTGTATAAAAGAAGTACATGTCTATCATTTTACTTGTTGTCCAATGCCAGAGGTCCCCTCTGCTCCCCACCACAGCCTGTCCGCTCACGCCCCCTCCCTAATCTCTCACCAGTGGATTTCCAGCCACCTACTTATATCTTCTGTTTTGATTCTAATGTAAAAATAAAGTACAGCCCTGGCTGGTGTAGCTCAGTGGATTGAGTGCGGGCCGTGAACCAAGGGGTTGCTGGTTCGATTCCCAGTCGGGGCACATGCCTGGGTTGTGGGCCAGGTCCCCAGTGGGAGCCACGTCAGTCAGCCACACATTGATGTTTCTCTCCCTCTCTTTCTCCCTCTCTTTCCCTCTCTAAAAATAAAAAATAAAATCTTCAAAATAAAATAAGGTACAAAGCTGCCATTTTCTGGAGCATTTTCTCTATCTATTGAAGCTTGGCTTCCCAGCAGTTGTCATTTTCACATTTGGACGTTTCTTACGTTGACAGTGTTGTGCCCACAGAGCCTGGACCTAACAGTGGACAAAAAGCAAGCACCCCACGAGTGGCCACCCCTCCTCCCCTGCCCTCTCCCTCTGTGCGACAACACAGAAGCCTCCTACATGTCGCTGCGCCAGATCCGTGCGGTTGCTAGACTGTCTCAGCCCAGAGGTGGCTGGATTCAGGGATTCTGTACTCATAGGCGAGAAAATTTTCCTGAAAATGGACATATATATGAGTCTTAAGTGTATGTGTAGATACATAATTTATTTTTATTTTTATGTATTGATTTTAGAGAGGAAGGGAGAGAGAGAAAGAACCACTGATGTGCTGTTCCACTTGCTGACGCATTCACTGGTTGGTTCTTGTATGTGCCCTGACTGGGGCTCAGACCCACAACCTTGGCGTATTGGGATGACGCTGTAACCAGCTGAACTACCTGACCAGGCCTGTGATGCACAGTTTTTTGCTAGTGAGCAGGGGAATAAAAAAATCCATTGAACATCTGTCCTAAGCTCCCGCACAAAATAAATTGTTCATGAAGGCTTCTATGCTTCCCTCTGTAGCTGTGCGTGAGGAACCAGTGGTGTCTGGACGCTCCTGGATGCTAGGCAGCAGCTCACATGCCACTCACAGAGATAGGAGTGGCTTCAGTTTTTTCTTTCTTTTTTTTTTAAAGAGGTGAAAGAGGGAAAAAGAGGGAGAGACACATCAATATGTGGTTGCCTCTCATGCGCCCCATAGTGGGGAATCAGGACTGCAACCCAGGCATGTGCCCTTTGGTTCACAGGCCGGCACTCAATTCACTGGCCACAGCGACTGGGGCGAAGTGACTTCATTTTCTATACAGAGCTTAATTCACCTTGACCGTGAGCAATGCCTCCACTCACAAATATCCAGCCCAGCCCACCTGGAGGGAGACCCAGGACACACTCACCACAGGATTACGTGCATCTCCTTGCCATTAAACTGAGAAAGAAATCCGTTCTCAGGCTGAAGAGGAAGTTTGGCTGGTGCCTGAGTAACAGACTCCAGAGACGTGTGCTACTTGTCCTGCCTGCAGACAGCCTGCGCTGGGCCCTCCTGCCCCTGGCTCCTTCCCCTGGCCGCAGGAGGTCCCAGTGCAGTTCTTGTGCCCGTTGGAGACATTAAACTACAGCATCAGCCTGGCTGGTGAAATAGAGTTTATGTTTCATTGGTCTGTCCTTTGGGGGGGGAAACCTTAATGTTAATATTTGCTTTGATGTGTGATGTAAATCAAGTATTTGCCTGAAATGTAAACTTACTGTGTTTTTAACAATGTTAATGGAACAGTTTTCAATTATTTTTTATTTTTAAAAGGAAATCCTTATTTTAACTATAAGCTGTCTTTGGTTCTTAAAGGTCATGAATTGGTGTAAGGCCATTTATTTGCTCTCCATTTCAGTGCACTTTCTGCACAAACACTATTGCCATTTTGACAGAAAGAAAAAAGTACATAGTTGAAGTGTTTGGCTTCAACCAGCAATAAACACACCAGCGCCATCACTCTGAAGTGCCTCTCTGAGAGCATTTTAGTTGACGTGTGGGGAAATGAATAGGGCAGGGCATTGAGAGCCTGAGGCATGCTGACTGGCTTACTGAGTGCTGGGTAAATTACCACTCAATGGCATGTGTTCTTGGAGAAGCAATTTCACAAAAGGAGAAACCTTTTCACCGACATTTGATATTTTCTTTCCAACAGGGACCAACACTTGTACAGCAGCGACCCGTTGTACGTTCCCGATGACAGAGTGTTTGTGACTGAGACACAGGTTATCCGGGAAACACTATGGTATGTCCTGTCCCCTGATCAGTAGTCTGGACGACTTTATTTTTAAAAAAATACTTTATTTATTTCTAGAGAGAGGGCAAGGGAGGGAGAGAAGCATCCATGTGTGGTTGCCTCTCGTGCACCCAGTCCTGGGGACCAGGACTGCAACCCAGGCACGTGCCCTGACTGGGAATTGAACCAAAGACCCTTTGGTTTCCAGGCTGGCGCTCAGTGGACTGAGCCACACCAGCCAGGGTTAATGTTGACATTCTGAAAACCAGGAAGGTCTGTTAGGACCACCTCCTGTGGGAGGAAATGCTTTGACAAGGCTGTTTGAACTTCACTCTGAGATGATACTGACATGTTTTGAGTGTTAAGGTAATCCGATGCAAAGAGTGATATCTTCTGTTCTCTAGTTACCTGACCTCTCTGCTCCGCCCAAGTCTGAGTCTTTTATTACAAATTCTTCATCGATACTGTAGCGAACATTCTTCTATACTTAAAATACACTTAAACTTCTTATTTCATTTCAGGTTACTCTCAGGAGTCAAGAAGCTCTTTATCTTTCAGTTGATAGATGGGAAGGTAACCGTGAGGAACGACATTACCGTCACCCATTTGACCCATGTAAGTTAACTGTGTAAGTTAAAATTAAATAATGGGATTTGTGTAAACTGTGCATGTATAACTTTAGAACATTTTTCAATACTAAAGCTACTAAATATATCTCAAGATCCAAAAGGCAAAATTAACTTGTGCAGCTTAAGAATGCTTAGAGAATTCTTTAGTGTTGTTGTAATGTTACGTTTAGTTTTAATTTGTGTTTTCTCCTTTTTATTGGTTATTCTATATTGGGAAAGCTGTATGCTGTAAATGTTTTGCATTTATCTGAAATGTATCTTTAAAAAGTGTAAGCCTTGAAGAAAGTACAAGGAAAAAATGAAGTTATTACAATCAAATTTAAAACAGCATAAGCCTCAATTCCATATTCTGTAGATATTAATTTTCATGCTGCCTTTTGGATCTAAGCATACTGTTCCCAACAGTCACACAGGAGCTATTTTACAGCGAGGGGATATGCATTTGAAACTCACGGAGACTGGCTTGAAATAATCCTGTGTTTGGTTTCCATCCCATGACCGGCGGCAGAGCTGTCTGCGGTCGGTGCTGGAGCAGATGGCGGCCTACGGGCAGGTGGTGTTCCGGCTCCAGGAGTTCATCGACGAGGTCATGGGCCACGGCCCTGAGAGCTTGCTGCCGGGGAACGGGAACGGCCACAAGAAGCTCACGGAGGCCCCCTTCCGAACCTACCAGGCGTTCATGTGGGCCCTGTACAAATACTTCATCACTTTCAAAGAAGAACTTACAGAAATTGAGAAGTGTATCATCAATAACGGTATTGAAACGTTCTTCACTTTTACTTGTAAGACACACAACTCACACTTGGAATGCCATTCAAGTTATTCATTGATAGGAGGTTGGAAAATTACGTGGCAAAGAAGTAACTCATGAATATATTTATTTTTTAAATTATTATTATTTTTTGTCATTACCCAAGGACATTTTCTAATTGCTTTAAAAGAGAGAAAAGGTGTGGCGGATCCTGGCCAGCAGAATCCGTGTATGTTGTGGCTGCTCGTGAACAAAGTCACATGGACTGCAGAAGTCCTGTGGAGAAAAAGGGACGGCATGGCCACTCTCTGAGAGAGAGGGCCAGAGGCCCCTGCCTGGACAGGCTTTTATTGTTTTTCTGGGTCCATGACATGGAGGGTAGTCCTCCTTTACTATGCACAGGTTCACTGCAGGGGACTCCCATTACAGATAACAAAGGAAAGAATGCTGCTAATAACTTCAAAGACAGGATGTTGCAGACCAAGGGGAAAAGTGGTTGAACGGGTCACACTCCATACTTGGGAGGTTTAGCTTAGATCTTAGGAAGTTTCAGTAAGCACTTGCTGCCTCAATTCAGAGTGAGGGAGTTTTAGCAAAAGCAAGTCTCATAGCAGTCTGGGTACAATGCAGGCCTGACTCCCCATGGGAAACCCTCTCCATGGGCGGGCGTCATCCTGCGTGCCACTCGCCCCCCACTGGTTTTCCACGTGAGTGCTGAGCTACATTCCCACGCCACACGAAGGGGTTCCCTGCAGAAGGGGGGACAGAGAGAGAGAAACATCAATTGGTTGCCTTCTGTATGTGCCTGTTCTGGGGACAGAAGCTACGTATGTGCCCTGACTAGGAATCAAACCTGCAACTTTTGGTGCACAGTACAGTGCTCGAACAACCTGAGCCACACTGGCCAGGGCTAAAATTATTCTAAATTTGTATTTTAAGCCATACATGTCTTTAAAAATTCAAACAGTAGCAAAAGACAGTGAAAATTTTCCACCATTGCGGGTTTGGCTCAGTTGGTTAAGAGCCTTGTCCCATAGGCGGAAGGGTTGCAGGTTCAATTCCCAGTCAGGACACGCGCCCAGGTTCCGGTTCAGTCACATTTCAGTTCTAGTCCGGGCACGTGCAGGAGGCAGCTGATTGATGTTTCTGTCTCACGTTGATGTTTCTCTCTCTGTCTCCCTCCCTCCCTCCCTTCGCCTCTCTATAAAATCAATAAGCATGTTCTCAGGTGAGGGAAAAATAAAGAAAACTTTTCCTCCTACCACAGTTCTTCAGGCAAGAACCCAGTTCCTCTTCCTAGAGGGAACCAAGTCGTAGTTGCTTGTGTACCCTCCTGGAAATAAACTTTTTTTAAAGATTTTATTTATTTATTTTTAGAGAAAGGGGAAGGGAGAGAGAGGAAAGAAATATCAATGTGTGGTTGTCTATAGTGCACCCCTTACTGGGGTTCTGTCATGTAACCCAAATTTGTGCCCTCACCGGGACTCGAACTGATGACCTTTTGATTTGCAGGCCGGTACTCAATCCACTGAGCCACACCAGCTGGGCCAGAAGTAATTCAGTCAATGCAGTGGGTGCATTTCTGTGTGTGCAGACCTGGAAGTCTACTCACTCCTCCCTTCAAATCCTATTTTCATTTAAATTTTAAGGATCATTATCTTATAAGTATATGAAGAGCCTCGTCATTCTTTTTCACAAACTCAGTGTCTTGCTGTATGCATGTGTCACAGACCCGTCCCGTTGTGGACACTCAGGTGCTTCTGAGCCTTTGCTGTTGCCATCAGCACCATAGTGGTAACCACTGCTGTGTCATTTGTTGTGCGCGGGCAGCGAGCTGGCTGTAGTGCAAGTTCTTCAGAGCGCCGCTGCCCTGGCTCCTGTGGCTCAGTGGACTGGGTGCTGGCCTGCGAACCAGAGGACATTGGTTCAATTTCCAGTCAGGGCACCTGGCTGGATTGCAGGCCAGGTCCCCAGTAGGGGGTGCATGAGAGGCACCCACACACTGATGTTTCTCCTCCTCCCTTCCCTTCTCTCCAAACATAAGTAAATTAAATCTTTCATTAAAAAAAGGTGTGGAAATGCTGGGCAGAGGCTATGGCGGGGTGACTTGGGTAGATCTGCCACATTGTTCGACAGGAACCCCTGAGTGCCTTGCCGCCCTTGCAGGCAGCACCTGACCAAACCCTGTGGTCCTCAACCCGTGGGACGGACATGAAGCGGCGGCCCAGTGCTGGTGTCTTTCCCTCCACTCTGGTTGCAGCTCAAAGCAGTGCTCAGTCCCCTGTGCCCATCACGGGACTTCCCTGACCCCCCCCGGGGTGACCCCACATGTCACTACAGTCTGTCATCAACACCAGGGACCTGCCCCGGCACAACACACTGGGGAGCCTGCAGACCCTCCTTGGGTGTCACCGCTCTGCGGCTGCTCGCTTTCTTTGGGGAGTGGGGAGTAAGATGTGTGTGTCGTGCTGTGACGTGCGGTCCCGTGTGTGCTGATTCCCGCAGCCCCCTCCACACTCAGGAGTCAGAGCCGGCTCTTGCCGCCCCCTTGTAGCCAGTCCCTCCACCTTCCCCCACGAAACAGCAGCCCCACTGTATTCTGGGATTTATTTCTTAAGTCCAGGAGTTTTAATTTGCGTTCTTTGGTTACAAGTGAGGTCGACTGTCTTTCTGTCTAAGAATCACTGGTATTTCCTTCCCTGTCAGCTCCTTTATAGATTGTTTTTTTGGGAGTTCGTTTGTTTCCCCCTGAGAAAGGACTTTCTTTAGGGACATGAACCTGGGAGACAGGAGAGGAAAACGCAGCCCCCTCCCGTCGGCTCTGCCTTCCCTCGTGGGTGAGCATTTCTGGGGTATCTGACTGCACGGGTTTCCTGGCTAACGAGTGTGACCCTTGACCCCCACAGACACCACAGTAACTCTTGCCATTGTGGTGGACAAGCTGTCGCCCCGCCTGGGGCAGCTGAAGGTTCTGCACAGAATCTTTAGCACCGGGATAGCCGAGGTCCCGCCAGACACGCGGAACGTCGTTCGGGCGTCTCACCTGCTTAACACCCTGTACAAGGCCATCCTGGAGTATGACAACGTGGGGGAGGCCTCTGAGCAAACGGTACGTGGCCCCTCGTCTGGTCTCAAGTGCGTGACCAGGAACGAGTGACCAAGCCCGAGGTGAGGGCGCCCTGCGAGCGGCCTGTGCGCGTGTCCCCGCAGGTGTCCCTGCTCTTCTCCCTCTGGGTGGAGACCGTGCGGCCCTACCTGCAGATCGTGGACGAGTGGATCGCGCACGGCCACCTGGGCGACTGCGCACGGGAGTTCATCATCCAGAGGTGACCGCGGCCACACGAGGCTCAGGGCACGTGGGGCGGTTTCACTGGGTTCAGGCACCACCAGAGAGAGAGCAGTTGGGCCGAGAGAGCTCTGTGGTCGCCACAGGGCACGTCGGGCGCGGCCCCCCAGACACCTTTCTCCTGCCCTTGTGTCAGTTCACTGCTCAGTCCTGCAGACTGCCTCTCTGGGTGGCGGTGTGTCGATGTCGGGCTGGCCTAGCGACACGCACAGCGCTCCCTGTGAAGCAGGCGCGGGCCCCAACCACCCACTCCAGTCATTCCGGCGGAAAGCATCAGTTAGATAAAAGTATGAAAACATTTCTGAAGAGGCCTTGAATACATTTATTTCTCCAAATTAGCTGCTCTAGATTTTTTTTTCTTTTTAATCCTCACGTGAGGATATATGCATTGATTTTAGAGAGCGGGGGCTGGGGGGGGCACGCACGCACGCACACATCGATGTGAGAAAGAAACATCAATTGGCTGTGCACCCCGACCAGGACCGAACCTGCAAACCAGGCATTTGCCCCGACCAGGAATCAAACCTGGACCTTCGGGTGTGTGGGATGATATTCCAACTACTGACCCACAGAAGCCAGTACACTACTTTTTTTTACCCTTAAGTTAATTGATTTTTCTGAATACAATCACAGAATCTGCATCTCAGCACCATGTGAAGTTGGGTGCTCTGTGTGGATGTGTGGTTTTATTGACAGCTGTTTATTTCCCTCGACAGGAAGGGCGTGCTGATGCCTCTGAGCTCTGGGAAGGTGGCCCTGTTTCCGGTGCTCAGATACAAGAGGCAGCCTTTCCCTGAGTCCAGCTTTTATCTCTCATTCTGTCCTGTTTCATCTCTCTCAGTGTTCTTAGTGGGGAGTATCTATCATTTCGTTACTCAGTGCAATTCTGTTAAGAATCTACATGGGCCCTGGCTGATGTGGCTCAGTGGATTGAGCGCTGGCCTGCCAACCAAAGGGTCACCAGTTCAATTCCCAGGCAGGGCACATGCCTGGGTTGCAGGCCAGGTCCCCAGTAGGGGGTGCTCAAGAGACAACTACACATTGATGTTTCTCTCTTTTTCCCTCCCTTGCCCTCTCTCTAGAAAAAAATAAATAAAATCTTTAAAAAAATCTTATGTGGAGAGGGGTAGGTGTGGAAGTCTGGAGATTAGTCTCATGGGAGATGAACAAGTTAATCATATTTTGTCTAATTCCAATCCAGGCAACTTTCTACTTAGTTAGATTTTTGTCTCAGTCCTCAGATATTTACCCACGTTTTCATGTTAAGCTGAGGCCAGATAAACTCTCCCATTTTGCACAGACATTGCTTCGTTTTAGCAACAACTGACGTTACTGTGTCTGGGAATGTCTGTAACACACGGGGCTAAGCTAGAACACATATGCTGTTCTTTTGGAAGAAGGATGAACATCTAACATTCTTTTGAATCTCTACAGAAACAAAAATGTTCCAGTCAATCACAGAGACTTCTGGTACGCAACCTACACGCTCTACAGTGTGTCGGAAAAGACAGAGAACGAAGAGAAGATGAGCGACAACGCCAGCGCGAGCTCCGGCAGCGAGCAGGGGCCCTCCAGCCGCCAGCCCACCATGGTGTCCTTCCTCAGGCCCGTGCTGAAGCACATCATCATGGCCGGCAAGTCCATGCAGCTGCTGAAGCACCTGCAGGCCGGGGACGGCACCGCGGGCCAGGCCACGGCCAGAGGTGGGCCCTTCCCGCGCACCTCTCGTGGCAGGGGCTGCTCTGCTGCTGTCTTCACTCTTGTCATCCGAGACACGGAATGATTCTGTAGTTTTCTGTTTGTTTTGTTGTTTGTAATTTTTAGAGAGAGGGGAAGGGAGGGAGAAAAGGAGAGAAACATCAGTTGGTTGGTTGCTACTCGTACATGCCCCGAACGGGGACGGAACCCACAACCCAGGCGTGTGCCCTGACTGGGGATTGAACCTGCGATCATGGGCTTGCAAGACTGCGCCCAAGTGAACCACACCGGTAGTTTGAAAATCATCAAAGCCTTCTAGTTACACGGAAATTAGCACCATGATCAAGGGAGTAGATCATGCTGCTTCTAACAGAAAAAAGATTGTCCTCATTGGAAATGTCTAGCACTTGCTCTGGCCAGTGTGGCTCAGTGGAGTGAACGCTGGACGGCTAACCAAAAGGTTGTTGGTGCGATTCCCAGTCAGGGTACATGCCTGGTTGTCGGTCAGGTCCCCAGTTGCAGGTGCGCTAGAGACAAATGAATGATGTTTCTCTCCCTCTCTTTCTCCCTCCCTTCCCTTCTCTCTAAAAATGAATACATAAAATCTTTAAGAAAAAGACAGAAAGAAAGAAATTTGTAGCACTGTATTTGAAAGGCAGTGGTAATAAGTTCCACGTGTATTTTCCTTACTCTTGATTCCTGAGGACTGGTCCCTTTTTTTTTTTAGATTTTTATTTATTTTAAGAGACAGAAGGGAAGGAGAAAGAGAGGGAAAAATCAATGAATATGTGGGTGCCTCCTACACACCCCCTACTCGGGGCCTGGCTCACAACACAGGCATGTGTTCTTACTGGGACTCAAACCGGGAACCCTTGGTTCACAGGCCCATGCTCGATCCACTGAGCTGCACCAGCCAGGGCAGGACCGGTCTGTTAAAAATAATTCCCAGCATATCTTGCAGCATGTCGCTCTTGAAGACCATGAACCCTAGCAGATAGGAATTCATTGGTGAGCAATTCTGACTGGACCATAGATTTCAAGAAAATCTTGATGTTATTTCTAGTCTTTTTTGATGCTATTTAAACAGTATACTTAAAATTTTATCAATGGACTAAAAAATTTGAAAGGTATAAATGTGACCCTTGGTTGTTTTGTTTGTAAATCAGCTTAGTGTTACATCAGTTATTTGGTATCTTGTCTAATAATATTTTCAGTTGGCCCGGGTTCGTGCTCAGTTGGTTAGAGCATCATCCAGATATGCCAGTTATGGGTTTGATCCCTGGTCAGGGAACGTATAAGAATCAACCAATGAAGGTATAGAGAAGTGGAACAACAAATTGGTGTTTCCCCCCACCCCTTTCTCTTTCCCTTCCACCTCTCTAAAGTCAATAAATAAAAGTTTAAAAAATGAGAATAATATTTTTATTTTGGAATATTTCCCTTTTGAAGGAATAATAAAATGTAATGAGCTTTCCTGGGCCAATCTTGGGAGTGTTTTTCCCATAAAATTCTCAAGTGCTGTACATGGTAACTTAACTTTCCAGTGTCCTGCTTAGGGTACTCCCTTGTTCAGAAAAAAGTTAGGTTATACTTTCATGTTTAACCCTGAACTTGGCACTTGTCTGACAGGATGTAAAAATGGGTAGTGACACCGTATTATAAAAGTAATGAGATGGGAATAGACTCTCGTAGTATTTCCAGAGACAAAATACCAGGCAACATTTGGATTAAATCACATAATATACCTGAATGTTACTTAATGTTAAGTAACCTGACGTACTTCTTTATGTTTCAGATGCAGAAAGAAAAAGCCTCTATACTCTCTTTCTGGAGTCAGTACAGTCACGCCTTCGACACGGAGAAGATGCCCCCGCACAGCCCCGCACGGAGCAGTTGGCAACCAAAGAGAACCTCATTAAGATGCAGTGCATTGCCGAGAGGCACCCTGAACTGGACGATGTTCACGACCCGCTGCTGGCCGTGAACTTTGCCAGGTGAACCCCAGCTGCTATTTTTTTTTTTTTTGAGATTTTATGTATTTATTTTTAGGGAAGGGAAGGAGAGAGAGAGAAACAGCAATGTGTGGTTACCTCTTGTGCGCCCCCTACTGGGGACTTGGCCCGCAACCCTGGCATGTGCCCTGACTGGGAATCGAACTGGTGACCCTTTGGTGCACAGGCTGAAACCCAGTCCACAGAGCCACACTAGTCCCAGCCCAGCTGCACCATTTCTGATGGTTGGCATAGCAGAATCTATGCCATATTTAGTACTGTTTATTTCTGCCAGGCGGGGGCCTTCCAGCCTTAAAGATAGAACCTTTGTAGCCTATCCTACTTATGAATGAATGGGGCACAGGAACACACTGTGTTCACTTATTTTCGATGTGTCCTTTGGCCTCCCTGGTGTTTGTGAACGTCCCCAGGCTGTCACATGCCCTAGGCCCTGGGGAGTGATGTCTCTGGGACAGAAGACGCTCTAAGAAGTCTGGGTCGTGGTTGGGCATCAGACACATCCAGTGAGCCAGACCCTCCCTGTGCGTAACATGCGTCTTGGCTCTCGAGGCTTTTAGGTGCTTGGTACCAATATACTGCTGTTACCTGAGGCCGTCACTTACTGCCAATGGCTCTAGTGTCCAGAAAGGGCCAAAGTGCGTGACCCTGAAGGCAGAAGTGACTCTGAACAGCTAGTTCACTCAAAGTATGTTTTGAGGAAACAAGTTTCTTTCTGCCCCGGCTGGTGTGGCTCAGTGGGTTGAGTGCTGGCCTGTGAAGCAAAAGGGTTGCTGATTTGATTCTCAGGGCATTGCAAAAACATTGATGTTTCTCTCCTTCTCCCCTTCCCCTCTCTTTAAAAATAAGTAAATAAAATCTTTTAAAATATATATTTAAAAAAAGATTTCTCTCTCTGTAATAATTGGTCATTTTAAAATGGCACTCTGAAGTTTTGATTTCAGAGAATCCTCTTGACGGCTGCTCTTAAAAGAAGGCTTTTTTTTTTAATGTTAAAGGTTGTATTTGGAACAGAGTGACTTTCACGAGAAGTTTGCTGGTGGGGACATCTGTGTGGATAGGTCCTCGGAGTCTGTGACGTGCCAGACGTTCGAATTAACACTGAGATCTTGCCTGTACCCCCACATCGACAAGCAGTATCTCGAGTGCTGTGGGAACCTCATGCGGACGCTGAAGAAAGATTACAGGTCTGATGGAGTTTCGTTTCAGAAGTTGTCCGCAGTTTATTGTGCTTTGTGAACCATTGTGATTATGTTAAAACCTGTATTTCTAGTCAGTTTTTATTAGAGTGGGAAATAGATACGCAGTTAACAATTTTCTTTTTTTTCTTTAGATTTTTATTTATTTATTTAATAAATAATGTGCGGTTGCTGGGGGCCGTGGCCTGCAACCCAGGCATGTGCCCTGACTGGGAATCGAACCTGCGATGCTTTGGTTCTCAGCCCGTGCTCAATCCACTGAGCTACACCAGCCAGGACAACAATTTTCTTTTGAGAGAATCAATTAACCTTTAATGTTTTCCCAACTGTGTTGTAAAATTTCATTGTTTATTTCTGAGACACTATCCCTGAAGAAAAACAGAAAAAGTATGTTGCACAAAAATGCCCATCACAAAATTGGCCATCAGAGGGGAAAATGGGTGGATTACCAGTTCTTTAAATTATGGCATCTCAAAAAATATGGTATACTCATATCATATGTATGAACTTAATAAAGTTAACACAATGTTTATACAGAGTATTAAATAACATATTTTGTTGTTTTTTTTTAATTTGATCTTTTTAAAAGATTTTCTTTATTTTCAGAGAAAGGGAGGGAGAAAGGGGGAGAGAAACATCAATATGTGGTTGCCTCTCACATGACCCCTACTGGGGACCTGGTCTGCAACTCAGACATGTGCCCTGACTGGGAATCAAACCAACGACCCTTTTGTTCACAGGCCCGTGCACAGTCTACTGAGCCACACCAGCCAGGGCTAAATAATCTTTATTGTACTTTTTTCCACTACCATTTAGTCCCCTTATACCACCCTGGCCCCAGCAATTGCCACACTGTTGTCCATGTCCACGAATCCTTTTTCCTTTTAGCTCAGTCCCTCCACCCCCTAACTTCCCCCACCTATTTTGTTCTTAAAGCTTAAAAAAGCAGCGTATATAACATGGTGAGGACAATATTTTATTAAAGACACAGAAAAAAAAGACTGGAAAGAAATACCCCAAACAGTAACAGTGAAAATTCACTGTGAATGGTAGGATTTTGAGTTCCTTTTGTTGTTGTTGTCGTCACACTTTTCGACTGCCCAGTGTTCTGTGTTAAGGAAAAATAACTTCTGTTACTGCAAGGTACCTAAGAAGCGTTGGCGGTTCTGACTGCCATCGTCAGTGCAGAGGGTAAGCCTGCGTCACTGCCGATGCTGGCACACGAAGCCTGTGACGGATGGGGGCCTGCCTCATGGTGCCTCCGGCCTCTCCTTGCAGGTTGGTGGAGTACTTGCAGGCCATGAGGAATTTCTTCTTGATGGAAGGTGGAGATACCATGTATGACTTCTACACATCGATTTTTGATAAAATAAGAGAAAAGGAAACCTGGCAAAATGTGTCTTTTCTTAACGTCCAGCTCCAGGAGGCAGTAGGACAGCGTTACCCCGAAGACAGTTCACGGTAAAATGTGGAAGCCGCCTTTTATTTCTTTATTTTTTAGAGAGAGGGGAAGGGAGGGAGAAAGAGAGGAGAGAAACATCCATGTGTGGTTGCTTCTCATGCGCCCTCTCCCGGGGACCTGGCCCTCGACCCAGGCATGTGCCCTGACTGGGAATTGAACCGGCGACCTTTTGGTTCACAGGCCCACACTCAATCTACTGAGCTAAACCAGCCAGGTGGATGGTTGTTCAGTGTTATAGAATAATCCCTGTCCCATGGACCCCTCAATGAATATCTGTGTGGGTCATCTTATTTAATCTTCACACTGACCCCATGAATTTTGCTAATGTAATTTACATGCTAGAAAACCAAGGTGGTGGGAAGATGAGTGGCTCGCCCACCAAGCAAAGCAGGATGAGGAGATGGAACTGGGCAGCTCTCGGGCTCTGCTGGCCTCCCTCAGGGGGCTGGAGTCGGAGCTGCCCCGGGCTCTGCCCCTGCCCTGCCCCAGCCGCTGCACTGGCCTCCTCCTTGGTGGCCTCCAGTGTTCTGAGGCAGCTGCAGACCTCAGGGACCCTCACTGCCACGACCTGCTGCTGTTGCACAGGTTCAGGAGTGGCAAGTAGGTGGCTCCACTTGATGGGCACGATTGTAGGTTTTCAGACTGTTCCATGGGCTCATCCCCAGCCAGGCCGCTGACCTGCCCTTCCTCCCGCCCAGCTACCCGGCCAGCTCTGCGAGTCGGTGGTCCCACACCTTTGCAGCACAGAGGCCATAGCCCACCTTCTCCCCGGCCTCAGGTTCCTTGCTCCCTGCTTAGCTCTCTTCCTCATTCCCCTTCAAAAGTAATGATAATAACAGATAATAGGCGTCAGGTGCCAAATTAGGGCGTTATTTTCCTCACAGCCGTGCTGGTGGCTGACTGTCTGCAGCTTAGTAGTAGGTAAAATAATTCCCTTTAGTTTCATTTTATTCTTTTATTACCTTCGATTCTGCCATAAAAGTGGAATTTCATCAATTATGTGGTTATAAAAGTGGGGTAACTGCCCGATTCTTTTTGTGATAAGACATTAGTGCCCCACACCAGCAGAGGGTCCCAGGGAAGGTTATATTGTTCAGTATCAGTAGAAACCCATGAATTTTATTATTTTTGACATGTTTTAATCTATTCCAGAATTATTCTTTTTTTTTTTAAGATTTATTTATTTTTAGACAGAGGGTAAGGGAGGGAGTAAGAGAGGGAAACATCAATGTATAGTTGCCTCTTGTGCACCCCCTACTGGGGACCTGGCCCGCAACCCAGGCCTGTGCCCTGACTGGGAATCGAACCAGCGACCCTTTGGTTCACAGACCGGCGCTCAATCCACTGAGCCACACCAGCCACGGCTATTACAGTTATTCTTTTTTTGTTGCATAGCCTGTTCCATTCTGACCCAGAGAGAACCCTGTCACCTGACCCCAATGGCCCCGGGGAGCCCCTGGCTCTCAAGTCCAACATGTAGGCCCATTCTGTGCTCATCCTGCCCAGGCCCGTGTGCCTCTCCTGCGAGCACCTGTCATGGCTGTTTGGTGGCTTCAGAGGCCTTCCATCCAATGCTGGAGTGGATCCATCAGCCCTGGGTTGTCACCACCTCTGGACTCTCAGAGGACGGAGCTGGGACATCTGTAGGAAGAGCAAAATGAAGTATAAGCTCACATTGATATTTTCGGTGTCTGTGAAAGACGACTAATTGCACTTTGATTTTCCTTTGAGTGTTACTCACAAGTTACCCTAACACATACTGGATTTGTCCTATGATAAGTAGTAGTGGTCCCAAAGTCACGGTAGCAGCCACAGCCCCTGTCAATTCACTGCACGCCCTGAGCTGCCACCTCCAAGCCTCCGTGGGCTCGAACCAGCACCGACCCAACACCGCGCCGGCTTTGTGCTGACAGCTCATGTTCCTCTTCCGGGACTGCTGTGCTGCTCTCCTGCCCCCGTTGCCATTTGGTTTTCAGTTAGGCAAATGGCTGTGTGTTTCTGAAGTGGAAATCATTGGTACCAAGGTTCCTTTAGGGAGATCTGACTTCTGTTTCTGTCCCTGCAAGCCTCCTCCCTTCCTGGAAGGTAACCGCGGTTATTGGATTTCCACGTGGTGGTGCGGCCCGCACCCAGACCCGTTGCTCGGGCCCCGCTCCCCGGCCGCTGCATGGTCCTCGAGGCGCTGACCGGACCCCGAGGAGCAGGGTCATCAGACCCTCAGGTGCCCACGCAGCACCAGATATAGGGACATTCCCAAGCGCTGGGGCACCTGCTCCTTTCTACCGAGAGTCACATTCGAACCAGTGTTAGGGACGTGTGCGCAACACCGTTTTAGAAGCAGAACCCGCTCTGGCCACCCACCGCTCCTGGGCTGAGCAGAGGTCCGCTTCTGAGCCCGTTGGCTGCCTGGACGTTTCCAGACTAAGCTGCCTGCCTTCGTCCTTTTTCCTAATTAGCCAACAGTGTTAGGTGTCTCTTCTCCTTTACGGCTAAACTCGGTATTTGAGAACTTTTCTTATTTCCAAAACCAAATTCCTGTTCTGGAATATATGCCAGAAAATATGGCTGTATTGGAACATTGGCACTCCTTTTATGAAATACAGTGTCTTTTTTGGAATATGATGTAAATAAAATAAATGCTAAAATGATGATGGTTTTTTGAAAGAGCCTTTTGTACAAGCATGTTTTCACCAACTGAAACTAAAATTTCTTTTTCTAGTCTCTCTATATCTTTCGAAAACGTGGACACAGCTAAGAAGAAACTCCCCGTTCATATCCTAGATGGTCTGACCCTGAGCTACAAGGTATGTGCTGATACACTTTGTAAGAACACTGTTTGGTGTTAAAATTAAAAGGTACAAGCCCTGCCTGGCGTGGCTCAGTGGGTTAGAGCACCGTGCCATACACTGAAAGGTGGAGGGTTCCATTCCCACCCAGGGCACATACCTAGGTTGTGGGTTCAATCACTGATCAGGGCATCAGTGAATCAATCACTGATTCAGGAGGGAACTGAGTGATGTTTCTCTGTCTCTCTGTCTGTCTCTCTCTTTCTCTCTCTTCCTTCCTCCCTTCCTCTCTCTTTAAGAGGAGTGAAAAAATGTGCTAGGGTGAGGATAAAAAACAATTAAGACATGCAGGTAGTGGGTTCCCTTCTATCCTGATTTTCCGTTTTTGTTTTCACAGGTCCCATGGCCTGTGGACATTGTTATAAGCTCGGAATGTCAAAAAATTTACAACCAGGTGTTCCTTCTCTTACTGCAGATTAAGTGGGCAAAGTATAGTCTGGACGTGTTGCTATTTGGTGGTGAGATTATAATTGAAAATTAAATTATAAACTGTAATTATAATTTAAAGTATAATTACATATAATATAGTTTAATTTCAGCCCTGAAAAAGGGATTGGTGGTCTGGTCATTTTTTATGTATATGCAAATACCAAAAATGATGTGTATACATCAAAAATGATGTGTATTTACAGCAGCATTTTTATAGATGCTAGAGTTAATGTTCTTTTAAAAATATTTTATTTATTTTTAGAGTTGGGGGAGGGAGGTAGAAAGAAAGGGAAAGAAACATCAGTGTGTGGTTGCGTCTCACACACCCCCAACCATGGACCTGGCCCACAACCCAGGCATGTGCTCTGGAATCGAACCAATGACTCTTTGGTTCGCAGGCCGGTGCTCAATCCACTGAGCCACACCTGCCAGGGCTACGTGACAGTTTTTAATGAGAAGTTCCTGGGACTTTGCGTTTGCATGTTGATGACAGCGACCATCCAGGTGTTCATGGGGACTTTTCAGGGCGCCCCCTTCCAGAGACGCTGAAGGCGGGTCCCCACAGCACCTGTGGTGACCTCGCTGCGGGGGCCCCGCCCTCAGCCGCTGGGAGCAGCGCTCGCCGCCCACGCCGCTCTTTGACTCTCGCGCAGAGACAGCTGAGAAACCGCACCTGCAGGAAGGACTCCAGTGCGGGCCGCAGAGGAAACCAGTGCGGCAGCAGATCCACCGCATGCTCCTCTTGCGCGTGAAGCTCATGCACTTCGTGAACAGCCTGCACAACTACATCATGACCAGGGTTAGTGTCTGTCCGTCTGCCTCGTACCCAGCTGCTCACAGGACATCACTGGTAACAGACCAGAAACCTGGAGGGGCCCACAGCGTAGCGCCAGGCTGCAGACGTGAAAATGGCGCGTGTTCACACTTGGATCATAAAATGCTAGTGTAGTGGGCGGGATGGGGGGGCAGCTTTAGACCCGCCAGGGCACCTGTGTCCCAAGTCTGCCGTCCCTCCTGTCCCCCTGGGACAGGCACGGCCACAGCCCCTCTTTCGAATTGCCTTCCGAACTTGCTCCGTGGTCCTCTGACTTTTGATCAGTGGTGACAGCTGCCGCTGGGAGTTGGCTTCAATTTTTAGTGACAGCCAGACTCTGCCAGGCTGCTGTGCACTGTCCAGAGGAAGATACGGGCAGATTATGTGCTTTTTTTCTTCAAAACAAAAAGGAAGTCATTACAAAGTATATTTTTCTTCCATGTCTTCGAACCAGTTCGAGAGGACATCCTGAGAGAGGCTTCCGCCATTTGCCCAATGTCCATATTGCTAGGACTCCTTTTGGAGTTTAAAGTGGTTGCCAAAGAAATTTCTAGTCTTTCTGGCCTGTAAGTCCTAAAGCCCATTGTGTTCCGGTGAACGAGCCTTTCCAGCCGGCGTCTCAGACCTGCCGCCTTCTGTCCCCTGGGGCCACATCAGTGGCGCCTGGACTGCGGCCCCAACCCTTCAGCCTTGAGAGTAGGAGTTGCAGGTGTACTGGGTGGGCAAAAGGAGGTTTGCAGCTGTAGTACAAATAAATGATACAATAATTAGTAAGAAATAACATAAGGATAAATTCTGTTTGGTGTACTCACAGCTGTAAACCTACTTTCACCTGCCTCTGTGTAAACAGTGCAACTTAGAAAAATGTGTACCTTCAGCCCTGTTTGGTGTAGCTCAATGGATTGAGCTCGGGCTGAGAAGCAAAGGATCGCCAGTTCGATTCCCAATCAGGGCACATGCCTGGGTTGCTGGCCAGATCCCCTGTGGGGGGTGTATGAGGGGCAACCACAGGTAGATGTTTCTCTTCTTCTCTTTTTCCCTCCCTTCCCCCTCTCTAAAAATAAATAAATAAAATCTTTTTAAAAAAGAAAAATGTATACCTTCAACTTATCCAATGTTCTTTTTTTGACCCTCACCTGAGGACATGTGTGTTGATTTTAGAGAGAAGGGAAGGGAGGGGAAGAGAGAGAGAAACAGATTGGTTGCCTCTCACATGCACCCCAACTGGGGATTGAACCTGCAACCTGGGTACATGGCCTGACTGGGGATCAAACCCACAACCTTTTAGTTGACGGGATGACACCCCACCAACTGAGCCACCCGGCCAGGGCTACTTGATGGTTTGCTTTTTGTTTTTGGTATCCCCCCCCCAAAAAAAAGTCAGTGTACTTTCCCGTCTGGTTGGATATACTTGTCCCTCCCTACCGGGAACGGTCTGTTCATCAGAGTGAGGCGTCGAGTCACTGGGCAACTGGAGGTCCCCACAGAAGGGCCCCCTTCATTCTAGGAGGAGAACGCCAGCCCCGAAAGAATGGTACTTCATCAGCTCGGCAGATGGAACAGTTGACGGGAGAGACCTGGTTCTTGCTGACGCATGTAAAGAATTACAGATCAGCAAATTAGCGTGTCATCAGTTTTTTAGTGACCTATTCCCGTGGAAGAGAACAGGACTGGGTAGAGTGGGGGGTGAAAGGCAAAGTTTCAGGGCAAAGCAGGGCAGCAGAAGTAAGAGCGGCTGAAACCCAGGGTGGCAAGCCCCCGGGGGGGGCCTGAGGCCAGGTGGCCAGAGGCCCAGTGGCCGGAGATCCAAGAGCATCAAGAGCACCCCAAGCTCGAGAGACAGAGAGAGAGAGAGAGAGAGAGAGAGAGAGAGAGAGAGCACGTTCTTTGTTCTAAGGACTTACATAGTTGGTGGGATAGGAGGGGAAAAGCTACATGTTGACTAATGGGTGAATGTGGCACCCGCTTTCCTGGGGGAATGTGACTACCCAAACTTAGGTACATGTGGGGGCCTGTTAACCCGAATCCTTATCTTGCTCCAGGCTCCATTTGTTCATCTTGTTGTGAAACAGATACGTGACAGGAGGCAGTTAATTAAAATTGGGGCACTTTGCAAAGTTATTTATGGGCTCTTTCTGTGAGCATCAGGGACTCCCTCGTAAAACAGAGAGTGACCAGAGGTAGGCAATTAACCAAGGTTGTTTCATGGGCTCTTTCTGTGGGCACCGGGGACCCTGTCCCACATTCAGGCCTTGGGATGAAAGCACAGGTTCAAGGCTTTTTTTTCCAGACAGTAGAAACGCTACACAGAATCTCAAGGACTTCCCTTCTTTCTTGCTAACGTAGGGTTTCTTGTGATGTTGGAACACCTGGCAATATGATCGGCCCAGGCTCAGGACTGCTGAGTTAGCGTGTGAGACCTGTCTCCTTCCTCCTCCCTGCCTTGGTTTACTCTCTAACCTGCCTAATTGGTAAAAGGTGTTTCCTGGCCACTGGGATGCTAGACGCTGGCCAGGGACAGCAGTGCAGCCTCCGAGTTCTTCCTGCGCTGCCTCCTGCCTCAGGACTATTGAAGGAAGCAGAAGGGTCCGGTGAAAACTTTGGTGTTCTTTCTCAACAAAGAAGCCTGATTAAATTTTTTACTTTTCTCTTCAAGATCCTTCACAGTACAGGGCTGGAATTTCAACATCAAATCGAGGAAGCCAAGGACTTAGATCAATTGATTAAAATCCACTACAGATACCTGTCAACCATCCACGATCGATGTCTGCTGAGAGAAAAGGTACGTGAGAAGTCACCTGCGAACTTGCCCACTTAGGCAGGAGTGAAGCTGGTCTAGCGAGTTCGTCTCTCTGCTGTGGGATTTTATATTTACTAAGCTTCTGTTCTGTAGAACACTCCTTTTTCCTTTTTAGGATTTTATTTATTTATTTTTAGAGGGGAAGGGAGAGAGAAAGAGCGGGAGAGAAACATCAATTTGTGGTTGCCTCTTGTGCGCCCCCTACTGGGGAACCTAGCCTGCAACCCAGGCATGTGCCCTGACTGGGAATTGAGCCAGCGACCCCTTGCTTAGCAGGTCAACACACAGTCCAGTGAGCCACAGCAGCCAGGGCTGTTCTGTAGAATATTCTTTAAGGGAAGTCCAGATGACACGAGGTTACAAATTCAGGCCATATGACCAGACAGTCTCTGTACGAGAAACGGGTGGGGCCCGTGAGGCCAGCCCACCCTTCCTCTGCTCTGCACTTGGGCGCAGCTGGACGGTGTAGCTGCACTTGGGGCCCAGTCAGGAGGCGTGTCCCCCTGGGTGTGACTATTGGGGGTGAAGTCCCCTCACAGGAATCACCTGCCCCCTTTCACTGGGGGGTTTTGGCAGCCATCCCGGGAGACGGCAGCTGCTCCATGGGGTGGGCCGAGCTGCCACCGCCTGCATCGTGGGTGCAGCGTGTGCGCCTGGTTCTGAGGGTGCATCGTTCAGAGCCAGGCGGCCATTGTGCCGGTGAGCCTTCTTGGTGACAATGGAGTTAGGGAAGAGTGTGGTGTCCGCGTCCACACAGAGTGGCGGAGCTGTGTTCTCTCCCGGCTTCACTCTGCAGGTCAGCTTCGTGAAGGAGGCCATCATGAAAGTGTTGAACTTGGCGCTCATGTTTGCGGACGGTTGGCAGGCAGGGCTGGGGGCCTGGCAGTAAGTATGTGGCTCTCGGGGCCTCCTCGCTGTGAGTGTTTCAGTGGGCTTCCTCCTGGGAGGCTTTTTTCATCTTGGCGACACATCCCAAAGCACTTACATTTAAGGCAGGGGTGTCAGACACATTGTCACCGGGGGCCACATCAGCCTCGTGGTTGCCTTCGAAGGGCCGAATGTAATGTTAGGACTGTATACATGGAACTACTCCTTAGCAGTTAAGTGAGCTTGGCGCTGCTGCTGGGTAGAAACAGGGCGCCGGGCCGGATAAACAAGGTGGAGGGCCAGATTTAGCCCACGGGCCTTGTGTTTGCCGCCTGTGATTTAAGGAAAGAGTTGAAGAATCTGCTCGTCTGAGCTAGGCAGCCTCAGCGATTATGTGGTTCTTTTTTGAGCCATAAAATAATAAGGAACAGATGAAGTCTTTTAATGAGGACAAGCAAAAATATCCTTAGATGACATTCATGTGTAGTTGTGTAGGTTTTGTTACTTTTTTTTTAGGGTTCTCTTTATTTTATTTTAGAGCGGGGAAGGGAGGGAGAGGGAGAGAAACATCCATGTGTAGTTGCCTTTCACATGCCCCCTACTGTAGAACCTGGCCCCTCAACACAGGCATGTGCCCTGAGTGAGAATCGAACCCGTGATCCTTTGGTTTACAGGCCCACACTCAATCCACTGAGCCACACCAGCCAGGGCCTTCGATTCTTTTTCTAGGGATGTAATACGCATATGCAAATAGAATTCCTCAATGGACAAAACAAATAAAGTAGGGCAGGAAATTTTATATTTTATTTTATAGTCTTTACACTTAGTATTCTAAATAATTAAACCGAGGTACATTTGAAATTACTCCAGAGATATTTTGTTACCTACCTGTTAACCTGGTATGCACTTACTTAAACCGAAATGTACTTTCTTTCCTAGGATGGAATCTATAGAGAAAATGGAGTCCGATTTTAAAAACTGCCACATGTTTCTGGTCACCATTTTAAACAAAGCCGTCTGTAGAGGGTCCTTTCCACATCGTGAGTACACGCGTTAAAATCTCACTGCTCTTCCACTTTCCGGTACAAAGTCTGTCTCAGGAGGAATTAGATCCCCCCTTTCACAGCTGGAAGGCCCCTCAGCAGCTGTACCACGCCTTGGTTGTTTTGTTTTGTTTTGTTTCAGAATTACTTTAGGTTGAGTGAATATTAAGATGTAAAACACAGAGACTAAAGATTTTGCTCTCTAGCATATTGTTTGTATGGTACCTGAAACTATTATTACTATTGTTGACGGGAAAGACCTGGTTCTTCTTGCCGACGCATGTAAAAAATTACAGATCAGCAAACCTAGTAGTATGTAATCAGTTTATTAGTGGCCCATTCCCATGGAAGAGAACGGGACTGGGTAGAGTAGGGGGTGAAAGGGAAAGTTTAGGGCAAAGTAGGGTGAGAAAAGCAAGGGCAGCTGCAGACCAGGGTGGCGAGCCCCTGGGCAGCCTTGAGGCCGGGTGGCCAGAGGCCCTGTGGCCCGAGAGCCAAGAGCCCCCTGAGCCCAAGAGAGAGAGAGGGAGGGAGCACTTTGTTCTCAGGACTTACATAGTTGGTGGGCTAGGAGGAGAAAAGGGGAAAAAGGTCACATATTGATTAACGGGTAAATGTGGCGCCAGCTTTCCTGTGGGAGACTGTGACTAGCCAAACTTAGGGATGTGTGGGGGTCTGTCAGCCCAAATCCTTATCTGCTCCAGACTCCCCTTGGTCCTCCTGTTGTAAAACAAATACATGACCGGAGGCAGTTAACTACAATTGGGGCACTTCCCTTCTTTCTTGCTAACATAGTGTATCTTGTGATGTTGGAACACCTGGCAATATTGTCAGACCAGGCTCAGGACTGCTGAGTTAGCATGTGAGACTTGTCTCCTTCCTGCCTCGGTTTACTGTTTATTCTACTTAATTGGTAAAAGGTGTTTCCTGCCAACCAGGGTGCTAAATGCTGGCCAGTGACAGTATTGCAGTCTCAGAGTTCTTCCTATGCTGTCTCCTGCCTCACTATTATTCTTTAAGATTTTATGTATTTATTCTAAAAGAGGGGGAGGGAGGGAAAAAGAGAGGGAGAGAAACATCAATTGGTCACTTCTCCCTCAGCCCCAACCAGGGAGCTGGCCCGCAACCCAAGCATGTGCCCCGACCTGGAATCGAACCGGCGCCCTTTTAGTTCGAGGGCCCGCGCTCAATCCACTGAGCCACACCAGCCAGGGCAGAAACTATTACTTACAAAACAGAGGGCAGAATAGATTTTAGTCACACTTTCCTATCATGTGTAGCCTTTACAACTATTCCTTTTCAAAAGCTGGGGGGTATTTCTGAGCAGTGTGGAAGCTCCCTAGGCTTTCTGCCAGGGCGGGGCAGGTAGTCTCGGGCAGAGAGGCAGTCTTTAGAAACAAAGGCCTGAGTGTTCTCTCTGCAGTGGTTTGGGGGAGCCATTCAGGGGAAATCCTTCCCTGTTTCTTCATATTCAACTTGAGATCTCCTTAAGGAAGCCGAATGTTTTTAAGAGCCCTGTGTTAGAGTGGGGGCTAGGAGACACAGGCCTAGGTCAGAACTCGGCGTCTTGTTATGAACGGACCTCGGATTTTATGACGCGGGGAACAAATGTGATTTCTTCTGTGAAATGCACAGGTTGGTTTGCTGTCAAAATTAAAATGACCTAAACTAGAAGTAGATCATACTCTTTCGATTTTTATTTAATAAATGAAGACTATCATCTTTATTACACATGAAGAATAATCACCATGTTAATTAAATACAGAAAATGTCTTTAAATACTTTTGAGTTTTGAATTGATGAAAGCCTTTCGCAGACATTTTCAAATGTCTCACCCTGTTTTTTTAACCTCGTTCTTCTTCCCGCAGTGGAGTCCCTAGCCCTGTCCCTCATGGCCGGCATGGAGCAGACGTAGGTGTCCCCGCGTGATGAGCACCTCACACTTCCCCTCCATGCGTGTGTGTCTGCACCACGTGCTGCCGAGAAGCAGGAACCGTTTCAGCACTGTCGTCTCCTGTCTAGACAAGGGAGGGTTTGCAGGCGTTTTCTCTGAGGCTGCTGGGCAGCGTGGAGCGCAGGGTGGAGCCTTTGAAATGACGTCCGTGACGGAAAGTGTGCGTGGGTCGTTCACACTCACACGCCCTGTCGTCAGCTGTGCGTTTATGGTGTTGATCCCTTCGATGGGAATTGTATCATTTTTGTAAATGGAATTGTTAGTATGAAAAATAAAGCACTTTACATTTTTTGGTTCTCCCTTTGCGCAGTCCCAGAAGTTTTTTGGGTAGTGTTACATGCTGTTTTTTCCTAAAGCTTGTGTTAGATTTACCTGTCTGAAACATGTATTTTTATGTGGCCAGGAAGTTCCAAAATGGACAGTAACTTCAACCAATACCAGTAACCGTAAAAGGCCAACTGGACATGGGATGTGGGACCAGCTGTGGGTCCGCACTGTCACTGGGCATATCTGAGCCATTTTTGTTGGCTAAAATTGTGCTCACTGTTCTGTTTTTCCACACTTCCTCTGCGTGCTTTCTGAACATCCCTAGTGTTTATGACTGAGCACTTATTTACCATTCATTTTCCACAAACAAGCACTGACCCAAACAGCGGCAGAGCTGAGCACCTGGGTGCCTTGTCCTCAGATGCCGTCCTGGTCACCCTGCCGGCCCATGGCATGTCTGGGAGCAGCAGCCCCTCCTGGGAGCCAGCCCAGTTTCGAGGCTTCCCGCTGGAATGGGAAGAAGTTCGTGGAGGTGACCTTCCGATGCTCGGGGCAGCACAGCTGCTCCCGGGTCTGAAGAAAATGCCGCAGCGTCACCTGACCACTGAGGGACAGAAGGCCACTGCACCCCCTGCCTAAGGACAGCAGTGTGAGCCCCCCGAGGCTCTAAACAGCAGTGGCCGGGTTCTTCTGGCCTAAAGATCTTCATACGTCACCAAACTCATCACACCCAGCAGACAAAGCATGCGTCGCTCGTGAACTGATGCAGCCTCCGACACGCACAGCTTTGGCGGATAGTGAACTAGGCACAGCTCCCACCCAGCGACACCTAAAAGGTCACACTAAAGTCCTGTTTACCTCAGTCCTTGTACCCAGTTAAATGTGTCATGTCCAGCTTTTTTAAGAGTTTACTCATTTAGCCCTGGCTGGCGTAGCTCAGTGGATTGAGCATGGGCTGCAAACCAAAGCATCGCAGGTTCAATTCCCAGTCAGGGCACATGCTTGGGTTGCAGGCCATGGCCCCCAGCAACCACACATTGATGTTTCTCTCTCTTTCTCCCTCCCTTCCCTCTCTAAAAATAAATAAATAAAATCTTTTAAAAATTATAAAAAATTATTTTTAAAAAGTTTACTCGTTTATTTCTAGGGAGAGTGGAAGGGAGGGAAACAGTGGAAGGGAAGGGAGAGAATGGAAGGCGGGGAGAAAGGGAGAGAAACATTGTTCAGTTGCCTTTTGCACGCAGTCAACCCGGGACCTAGCATGCAGCCCAGGCATGTGCCCTGACTGGGAATGGAACCTGTGACCTTTTGATTCACAGACCAGCACTCAACCCACTGAGCCACACCAGCCATGGCAAACATGGAATTAATTTACAGTGTACAAAAAGACAAAAAACAGAGCAGACACAGAACCAGACTCAGATTGGACAGAGGTGTCAAAATTATCAGACTGGGAGATTCAAACAACCTGGGTGAGTGTGCTCGGGGCTCTGGTGGAGAAAGTGGGCATGTGGGAGAATAGTTGGGCCCGTGAGCTCAGCAAGGACAGGGGTAAACTGAACGTCACCCGGGTCCAGTGGATACCAATTACAACAGAGCACATCTGAGCTTACAGAACCATCACCAAGATAGGCTATATTTGGGGGCCATAAAATACACCTTGACAATTTTTAAAAAGTAGAAGTCATACAAAGTTGCCCTGGTTGGTGTTGCTCAGTGGATTGAGTGCTGGCCTGCAAACCATAGGGTCACTGGTTTGATTCTCAGTCAAGGCACATGCCAGTGTTATGGGCCAGGTCCCCAGTAGGGGGCGCACAAGAAGCAGCCACACCTTGATGTTTCTCTCCCTCTCTGTCTCCCTCCTTGCCTCTCTGTCTAAAAATAAATAATAAAAAACCCACAGCATCTGTGCTGGGGGAGTGACAGGTTGGAGTGACCCCTGGGTCCCACAGGAGGACGTGCTTGTTTGGATAGTGCTGAGGCCCAGCAGGGAGGACAGCCTGTTTGGTGGAAGATATAGACAAGTTGGGCGCTGCTGGACCATCTGATGGGGCCAGCTGGATGGGGATGTATCTAGAGAGCGAGGGGCCAGCCGGCCCTCCCAAGGGAGCACATGAGATTTCAGGCCTGACCCCAGGTGGGAAGGAAGGATCCCTTCCCGTCCTTGCGCATGTGCGCGTCTAGTCACAGCGTGACTTGTTAAGAAGACGACTCTTTCCCATTACATAGTCTCAGCCCTCTTGTCAGGAATCTTTTCTTCTTGCGCCCTCAGTTCTACTCTGTTCGTCACTATGTCCATTCTTGGGCCACTGCCACCGTGTCACGATTATTGCAGCTGCCTGGCAAGCTTTGAAGTCAGGGCATGTGACGCTTCCAGTTTTGTAATTTGTTGAGATTGTTTTCCACATCCTGCATCCCTTGTGTTTCTATGTGGACTTGAGGATCAGCTTGTAAAATTCAGAGGGCGAAAAAACAGGCTGTTGGAATTTTGATAGGGATTGCACTAAATCTGCAGATCAACTGCAGAAGTGTTATCATTTTCACTATATTTACCAAATTTTGCTGTGTATAATGTGCACCCACTTTTCTGTGCACATTATATACAGTATTATTATACCCGTGGTGTATAATTACTATACACAGCAAAATGCAGTAATTTGTCATCTATGAACAGGGGATGTCTATAAGATCAACACAATCCAAACTAATCTTAGCAGGCAATTTTTTTTAAAGATTTTATTTATTTTTATTAGGGAAAGGGAAGGAGAAAGAAAGGGAGAGAAACATTGATGTGTGGTTATCTCATGTGCCCCCCACCAGGGACCTGGCCCACAACCCAAGCATGTGCCCTGACTGGAAATTGAACCAGCGACTTCTGTATTGCAGGCTGGCACTCAGTCCACTGAACCACACCAGCCAGGGCTCAGCAGGCTGTTTGTAGACAGTCTGATTCTGAAATTTGTGTGACTAGCCCTGGCTGGTGTAGCTCAGTGGATTGAGCTCGGGCTGCGAACCAAAGGATTGCAGGTTCAATTCCCAGTCAGGGCACATGCCTGGGTTGTAGGCCACGGCCCCCAGCAACCGCACATTGATGTTTCTCTCTCTCTCTCGCCCTCCCTTCCCTCTCTATAAATAAATAAATAAATAAATAAATAAAATCTTAAAAAATAAACAACATTCTGTCTCAGTGTGTACATTACAGTGCACAAAGGAGGAGAGAAGACATCACCCTGGGATGCAGGGTCCCGACACCAGACATCAATGGCAAAGGGAGCTGGTCCCAGCCCTGAATGCCTGGCTGCCCTCAGCTGTCCGCTCCAGCTTGTCCTCTACAAATCCAGAAATCTCCGATTGCTCTGTTTCTAGGCAGGCGGGGGACGGGGGGCCGTGCTGCTGGAGGGCCACCAGGGAGTCATCCGGGGCGATTCTGAAATGGGAGGGGCCACGCAGATGTCCACAAACCACCTCCAGGTTTCAGGAATTAGAATGTTCTGCACAGGCTCAGGTGGCTGGGACCAGTTCCGGGATCCCAAAGGCGCCGGTGTTGGGGCGGGGTGAGCTGATGGGACCGTGTCCATAGGCTCAGGTGGACCAAGGAGTCCTCCCTGCCCCCTCCCCGCCCCCGCCCCCCCCCCAGCCAAGCTGGGACAGCCCTGCGCTCTGGGAGGACGCGGGGCCATTTCCAAGGTCTCGTTCTAAGAAGGGTTCCAGGCGGCAGCAGGTACACGAGTCAGGAAACCATCCTCTTCAGTCCGTGGGACACCGTTTGTGGGTAGAAAACCATTATTCAGTGTTGTATAAAAACAATAATAAATAGTAATAATGATAATGATCATAATCCTGATAAGAAGTAGAACGCGGGAGCGAGAAAAGAAAGAAGGGGCAGAAAACAGAATAAAACAGCGCCCTGCCCGCCCCACAGTGAATGATGACGCACCCGCGTGGGGCGGTGATTTGAAACCAGGTCCCAAGTTTGCACCGCGATCCGCGTTCCTTGAAGGCGAAGGAGGAGCAGCGGGAGACGGAGGAGGGAGCGCTGGGTGGGCCTCGCGCTCAGTCAGACCCCGGGAGGTGAGACCTGGAGGCCTGAGGGGCTGCGAGCAAGGCGCCTCCATCCGGCACCTGTCGGGCCACCCTGCGCTTCCACAGGAATCAAGGGCAGGTGTGAGGCCCCGCCCCGCCGCTGGCGTGAAGCCCCGCCCCAGGCATGAAGCCCCGCCCCCGGCGTGAAGCTCCGCCCACGCCCAACCTCTGGTCGCCCCGCCTTCCAGGCTTGGGCCGCGCGGGGCCCTAAGGCACCTGCTCACCCTGCCACTCAGTTCCGCCTTAGGGCTGTCGGAGGGCGACTCCCAGCCCCGGGGGTGGGGGGACAGCTGCGGAGGGCCCCCTGGGGACTCCCAGTTCCTGACCCCTTACAGAATTAGGTCATTTCCACAGCCTCAGGCCTACTGAGGACACCTTTCCTGGGACCCCCCCCAGCCCACAGGGGCCGATTCCTGCCTTGGAGCAGAGCTGGGAGCGTTTTCAGGATCCTCCTGCGGGAGCCCAGGAGCGGCTGTGTGAGTGTCGGGGAGCTCTCCGTTCAGTTCTTCATTACATTGAACCCTCTCCACGGATAGAGAAACCCTATCAGTGTGTTATAATAACAATTAATAATAACAATAGATAAGTGGGCCAACAAGGAAAAGAACATACGGGGTGTGATTATAAACAGCGGATGATGAGGGAGTGGAGTCAAGGATGGAGGTTCCCGTCTTCAGAAACTAGGCTCGATCAGTTGGTGACAAAGGTGACGGGCTGGATGACTTGGTGACAAAGGTGACGCAGCAGATTTGGAGAAGGGCGGAAGAGAGGCAGAGGCGAGAACAGTGTGAAAGGAGGTTTGACTTGAGTGCCTCCAAGACAGAAATATCCAGGAGACAGTTAGCCACAGGTCTGGCCAAGACAAACAGGTGGAAAGGAGGCTGACCATTGTCATGGAAACAGTTCACTGAGGAAAATGTTTTCTGGATTAGAGAGTACAGGTGTTATGCTCAAGCCGGCCTATGAAGGCACAAGTTAAACTGAAGGGAAGTGGCCCAAATGCCCCAGACCCCCATCAGGGCTTTGTCTCTCCCCCGCACACCAATGGCCTTGACTGAGGCAGAAAACATGACCTGGTTTACGACCTGGCTGTGCCGTGTAAAAGGCCCACTCAGAAAGGCACAGCTGTAGGTTCCCAACAAGATGGCACAGTTTTTGTAAGTAATCCTTGACTTGCAGAATAAAGTGATACCTTCTCCCTTAAAAAATAAAGTAAAAGGTCCTGGCTGGTGTGGCTCAGTGGATTGAGTGCTGGCCTGAGAACCAAAAGGTTGCAGGTTTGATTCCCAGTCAGGGCACAAGCCTGGGTTGCAGCCAGGTCCACAGTAGGGGGTGTGTGAGAGGCAACCACACATTGATGTTTCTCTCCCTCTCTTTCTCCCTCCCTTCCCTTCTCTAAAAATAAATAAATTAAATAAAAGTACCCCTGGCCGGTGTGACAGTTGATTGGAATGTCATCTGGTAGACTGAAAGGTCGCAGGTTTGATTCCCCGTCAAGGTACATGCCCAGGTTGAGGGTTGCATCCTTGCTGAGAAGCCTACGAGAAGGTAAACAGCCCATCAATGTGTGTCTCCCTCTCTTTCCCTCTCCCTTCTTCTCTCTCTAGAAGCAATTAAAAATATGTCCTTGGATGAGGCTAAAAATTGTTTTTAAGTAGATGGCTATAACCCTTTCTGGAACATTCCTGAAGAACAGTGATGAAGGAAGTCCTCCCAGCCCAGTTGGGGCAGGACAGCTGGTTGTTCATTTTGCCTGGAAGCAGAAGGGGGCTGCAGCCCATGGTTTGGCTGGGTACTCAGGGACGT